AGGATGCAATGCAGAGAAGAACAAAAGAGGCTAGAGTAGAACAAGGGAGGGTAGAACAAGAGTATTGTAAAGTAAGGTAAGGTACGGTTGAGGACGGCACAGTAAGGTACGGTAGAGTAAGGCACAGTATGATAGGGTAGAGTAGAGTAGGATATGGTAGGGTAGGGTAGAGTAGGGTAGGGTAGGGTAGGGTAGGGTAGGGTAGGGTAGGGTAGGGTAGGGTAGGGTAGGGTAAGGTAGGGTAGGGTAGGGTAGGGTAGGGTAGGGTAGGGTAGGGTATGGTAGGGTGGGTAGGGTAGGGTAGGGTAGGGTAGGGTAGGGGTAGGGTATGGTAGGGTGGGTAGGGTAGGGTAGGGTAGGGTAGGGTAGGGTAGGGTAGGGTAGGGTAGGGTATGGTAGGGTGGGTAGGGTAGGGTAGGGTAGGGTAGGGTAGGGTACGGTTGAGGAGGGCACAGTAAGGTACGGTAGGGTAAGGCACAGTATGATAGGGTAGGGTAGAGTAGGATATGGCAGGGGAGGGTAGGGTATTGCAAAAATTTTGTACAATTTTGTATATTATACACCTCATTCTGCTCCTACTTACCCGGCTATTTTCTATTCCCAAACCCCCTCCTACAGTATCCTTCTGCAATTAAAGCAGTACATTTAATTCTAAAACCGCTAATCCTTTCCTACTAATCTCTGTAATTTGTTATTTTTTGCTGGCGACGCAATATCCGATACTATAATGTAAACACTTTGACCAACTAGTTTGATGACAATTCGAATAATTCCAATTTTAATTTCATTCGAAAAAAGAATTACAAGAAAGACTTATGCCAATCCTCGCCTTTAACAATTAAGTCTTAGTTTTGCTTGACCTACAGAAAAAACTAAAAACGTGCTGTAAAAGAGAAGACCTAGTAGTTTCTAAATGCAATTATAACTTATAAACATGTTACAACGTTAAATTGTATGATGTGCAGTTCTAGAAATTGCTTGAATGTTACTGTATGTTAGTAAAAATTGTAGTTACTGTATGTTAGTAAAATGGAATAAAGGGTAGAGTACAGTAAGGTAGTTTAAAGAATAAAAGTAGAAATAGAGTAGACATGATCAACGGGCCGGGTTTGAAAATTGGGTTGAGGCCCGAACAAAAAATTATTTTAATTTTTAAAAATTTTTTATTTTGGTCCCCGTTGATGTTCTTTGATTTTATTGGGCACTATGATCCATAAATAATATAAAAAAACAATTTAAAGCTAAATTTTCGTTTTTTTCTTACGTAACTTTTAAAATTTTTTAAAACGGGCTGGGCCGGATCTAGAAATTGTCTGATCGGGCCTAAATGTAGAATTTTTAAGCCCAAAATTTACTTATAAGCCTAAAATTTTTTTTAAGGTCAAATATTTACATATTATTAAGTCTAAAGATGCCTTTTTAAGCCTAAAATAGCATTTTCAAACTTAGATTTTTATTTTTAAGGCTAAAATTTATTTTTTTGCCTAAAATTTCATTTTTGTGCCAAAAATTCAGTTGTGAGCCTAAAATTGTATCATTAAGCCTAAAAGTTCATTTTTATGCTTAAAATTCACTTTTAAATCTAAAATTTTATTTTTAGGCTTAAAATTTAATTTATAAGCCTTTCATTTAATTTTCAAACTAAAACTTTTATATTCTAGCCTAGCTTTTCAATTTTGAGCCAAAAATTTGTTCTCAAACTCAAAACTTGTAATTTAAGCACAGTTATTTTTAATCATAAATTTCATTTTTAGCCTAACAGTTTATTTTTTCTTGACATTTATTAAATTTTTTTTCAAAAATATTACTAAATTTTTCCTTAACTTCAACAAAACATTGAAGCTATGAACAGCGAAATCGGTGCACAAATTGCAGGAAGTGTGAAGCCTTTGTACGCCGGCTAAGTTTGTTTGTTTTTTGGACCTTTGACGCTGCGCACAAAAACCAGTCCGAGAGTACCGTGGAAGAGTCAACAAGTTGTAATCCATCACAATAAATCGGGATCTCGTTTCCGACCCCAAAAAAATATTTTTGCTGTCGGCTGATTTCGCGCGGCTAGCCGTTTTTACACTTGACCTTGTAGGCAGGCGGGAGGGGGGATGTTGGTTTTAAATGGCATTTTAAACTCGAGGTTTTAATGGGTTTTAATTGGCATTTGAGCCAAAAGTTGGCATTTTTGTAAAAATTAATTCATGCTTGGAAAGAGGATGACAAGAAAAATAAGTATCAAAGTCAAAAAAATGAGTACCAGCCTTAGAAAAAGGAGCCTCAGATTTACAAAGTGTTTTCTGAAGTTATAGTAACTTAAAGTTTTTTATTAAAGTCGTTTACTGTAAGTAAGTCTGTGTGAATGGGCAGACCTACCCTTCTTGCCAAGGTTGAACCAAAAGTATCGGGACAATTTTCACTTGTTTTTCAACTGATTGTGAAAAGTGTCCCGCTTCTTTTGGTTTGACCTAAGACAGGTAGACAAGGGATTTTGAAAGGTCACTCGATCACAACAGTAGTTTGAAACTTGAAACAGTTTTTCATTTTTTTGGGTTATTTCTGTTTATACGACAATCAAAGCTCTTCCATTTATGTCGTGTTAATCCACTTTTTTAAAAAAGGGTTACGGGCACGAGCAGAGTTAGACTATACGTACCACAAGGATAAGATTACCTATAGGTTTACAGTAAAGTTTGTTTTTGCTTATGATAAGTCAATGGTAAAGCTGAATTAAGGCTATGCGTAGAGTAGGGCAGGGTATTAATTTTTTTTTGACTTTTGTCATTTCTGGCAAGAATGTTACTGTTTACGACAGTGGTCTCTCTATATGGTGAACCATCTGTAAAAATAACTATCTTTATAGTAAACAAGAAATTTAGTCCCGCCAAGTTAATTTGCACTAAAAAGCCTCTCTGTAAAGACAACGCCCTTTATAGTAAACACAAAATGTCGGTCCCTTTGGGTTGCTTATATAGGGAGAGTACTGTATTATGTTGTTCACTTAATTTTGTGCCCTTAACTTTAAAAATTTGCTTTGAGGGAAGAGAGGCTCATGATTATTTAAACAATCTAATATTATTTCAAAAAACGTTTCGGAGTTAGAATAAGATCTATGGTAACAAACCTGCTGTTTAATTATATTTTTACTGCATATTTGTTCCTCATTCACCGCAATTATACTTTGGTTTTCGAGCTTTTCGCTCATCCACCTGCAAATTTACATTTGCCGCATTTTGTTTTCAAATAATAACCAAAAATCATTTTTTAAATGGTATTTTTAGCTCTAGCCCAAAACCCTAGCCCAGAACCCTAGCCCAGGGCCCCAGCGCGAAGCCCTAGTCCAGAGCCTTAGCCAAGAGCCTTAACCTAGAGCCCTAGCTCAGAGCCTTAACCCAGAGCCCTAGCCCAAAGCCCTAGCCTAGAACCCTATCCCAGAGCTCTAGTCCAGATTTCTAGTCCAGAGTTCTACACAGAGCCCAGAGCCCTATCCCGGAGGCCTAGCCCAAAGCCCTAGCCCGACCAGTTTAGTCCGAAAATCCTAGCCCAGCCCCAGATCCAACTCAAGCCACGCACGTCTGTCTGAAATGGGAAATGACCAATAGTGGCTTTTCGTTCGTTGCGAATTGTTTTTAAATTTTATTTTAATTTTTGCGTTGAAATGTAACGAAAAGCCAGAAAATTCCATTTCCAATTTTTGTTTTATTTCAGACAGACGTGCCACGTCCCATCATCAGCCCCAAACCTAGAGCTCTAGCCCTGAACTTTAGCCCAAAGCCATAGCTTCGGTCCCAGCCTCAACTTAGCCTCAACCACGGCCTCAGCCCCAGCCGCGCTTCAGCTCCTCTTCTAGACCCAGGTCCAGCCGCATCTTATCTTCAGTCTCAGGCTTAGCCCTGCCATTCTCGGGATTCACTTTATTTACCATACCTTTTACTGTAACATACCCTCTACCCTACCGTGCCCAACTTATGTAATCAAATTACAACAAAGCCATTATAAAACCAGTATGACAAGGTTTTTTTTCTATAAAAAGCCTTTTTGTTAAAAGGATTTCAATCTCGTGGGGGTTTTTTTGGAGCGCTGATTCAAAAGTGAACAAATCTGAATAATCAAAGGGAATTACTCGTATACAACATGACACGAGTTCGAACTTATTTTGGGTATTTGAATTAAAGTTTTAAAGGGCTTTGGGTTTTGAAATCGGATTTTAAATAATAAAATAACTGTTTAAGATTTTAAATTATAATTGACATGGGGCGCCAAAAGTTATGTTACACGGTTTTTTAATCGAATATTTATTTTAACAACAAATATAACTAAAATAACAACTAGCAATAGTAACATATAGTACTAGTTATAGCATAGTCAATCGGTTTCAAAGTGTCCTCCCTTTGCGGATTGGCGCACAGAAAACGGCCGGTAAAGTTTTGTAACAGAACTTATGGCTTACTTTGTAAAAAAATTTTTTTTGGTTTTGCAAAATTATGGTTTTAACTTAAGTTTTATCGCCGATTTGTATATAGATGTACAGTCAAAAACGACAAAACTTTTTTTTGACCTCTGAAGTATAGTATAGTAATCATATGTTTTTGTAGTAAATCTTGTTACAGTACAAAACCAATACAAAAAACTTACAACCACTAGGCTGTATTGCGAAATAAACCTTTCTGGTCAATAAATGACACACAATAGAGGATTTGGTGGGCTATGGTAATAACATCCGTTTTGGCCTTGAACCGCAGCCTTTTCGGTATCAAAACACTTCCTGTAATGTGGTGATTAGCCGAGGATGCTCATTAAGCTTTTGACACATTAGGATTTGAGTAGGGATTTTGGGATGAGTATAAGTTTTTTTGAAAAGTAAGTTGTGAGGGTGGGGTAAAAAAACGTTTTTTTTTATTTTTATGGCTAGGCTGAAACAGAAAGTGAAGCTGACTTAGATTTTAAGTTAGGACTAGCGCTAAAGTTAAAGTTAAAGCTAAGGCAGAGCAAGGCAAGAGTTGAGCAACGGCATGGCTTGGGTAGGCAAAGTAAGGGGCTCAGACGAAAGCCAGAGCTGACGTTAGAGCTAATCCTAAGGCTAAAGCTCATGCTTGTGCTCAAGCTTAGGTTCGGGCTCAGGCTCAGGCTCAGGCTCAACCCCAGGCTTAGGCTCAGGCTCAAGCTCAGGTTCAGGCTCAGGCTCAGGCTCAGGCTCAGGCTCAGGCTCAGGCTCAAGCTTAGGCTCATGCTCATGCTCATGCTCATGCTCATGCGCATGCTCATGCTCATGCTCATGCTCATGCTCATGCTCATGCTCATGCTCATGCTTATGCTTATGCTCATGCTCATGCTCATGCTCATGCTCATGCTCATGCTCATGCTCATGCTCATGCTCATGCTTATGCTTGTGCTTGTGCTTATGCTCATGCTCATGCTCATGCTCAGGCTCAAGCTCATGCTCTAGGTTAATGTTAAGGCTGAATTTTTAGAATTTGAAAAAATTTTTTGTTTTTAAAATTGTATTTAGCATAACATACGATAATCACAAAACTACATTTCTACTTAAAGTCAAAAAAACAGTGGCAGTTTACAACAATAACATGTGGAAACCGTTTGTTTTTCAAGTGTTTTGTTTTTTACTACAGTATTCAATCCAAAACTACATGTAGTGTTGTAAATTGTGTTATTTCATAAGTATGCAGCAAGTATTCCGGTGTGACCTTTAGTACAATTCTTGACTTGTTTTTGTTGATTGACGTGTGGCAAAAGCACAGTAACTTACCGTTTGTACTGTTGTAAAATATAAAAAAATCTGTCAGTTATAAGTAATGAATACTAGAAGTAAACGGAAGTAGTTTTTCTAAATTTTTTTGTTTGAGCGACAATTTTACAACTAAAAATAGGTTTTAGAATTAAAAATGTCTTTTTGGCTTAAAAATGGAGATTCAAGCTTAAAAATAAAACTTTAGGCTTAAAAATGGATTTTAGCCATAAACATGAATTTTAGGCTTAAAAATGAATTTTAGGCTTAGAAATGAAAATTTAAGCTCAGGAATGTAACTTTAGGCTAAAAATGGAGTTTATGCTTAAAAATTAGTTTTTTGGCTTAAACATGAAATTTTAAACTTTAGATTAAAATTGTAAGTTTAAAAATTAAATTTCAAGTCTGAAAAATGAAACTTTTAGGCTTAAAAATAGATTTAGGTTTAAAAATAGATTTTAGAACTCAGTTTTTGGCTTAAATATGAAATTTTAGGCTTAAGCATGAATTTTAGGTTTAAAAATGAAATTGTAGGCTTAGAAGTAAAATTTTGAACTTAAAAATGTAGCTTAGGCTTAAATATGACGTTTAGGCTTAAACATTAATTTTAGGTTTATAAAATAAATTTAATTATAAAAATAAAATTTTAATCCAAGAAGTGAAATTTTAGGCCCATAAGTGGATTTTAGGCTTACTTTAAAAACAAAGACGTAAGTTTAGAAATAAAATTTCAGATTTAGAAATGAACATTAGGCTGAAAAAAAATATTTGGAAAAATTTTTGCTCTGTTTATTTATTTTTTTTCAGCCAACTTAATTTTGTCTGCGAAAACTCAAAAACACTGTAGACAGTAACTGACCATCGCTTTCGCCACCATGACCCGGTAGCCTGGAATGTACGTGAGAAGTTGCTGAACAACTTTTGACTAATTCGGCGTTCGTCTCCCCCTTCTTCTTTATGATTTTAAAACGTCTTCGTTCGGAGATCCGGTTTAGCTCGTTTTGTGTCAAAAAAGGAGAGTATTTTCGTTTAGTGCACTTCTATTATAATATTCGGTTAGGGGGGAGAGGAGTAATTACAATAACATGATTGTTTTTTGCTTTTCAAACGAACTTTTGTTTTAAAAAGTTGGTAATGGATCTGGAGTTTTGTTTTGTAACTTTCTTTTCATTTTGAAAGTTTTCTTTTAGACTTAAAAGAGTATAAATTCTGGACTGGCCAGTCCTGGTTTGAAGTTTTAGAAAAGAGCTTACACCAGGGGTAAACATAGGGTGAAGCACGACAAGGAAAGGCGGAATAGGGCATAGGATATGGCTGAAAAAAGCAAGGCAAAGCCAGGGCAAAGGCAAGGCAAAGGCAGGGCAAAAGCAGGGCAAAAGCAGGGCAAAGGCAGGGCAAAGGCAGAGCAAAGGCAAAGCAGAAGCAAGGTAAAGGCAGGGCAAAGGCAAAGCAAAAACAGGGTAAAGGTAGGGCAAAAGCAAGGCAAAAGCAGGGCAAAAGCAGGGCAAAGGCAGGGCAAAAGCAGGGCAAAGGCAGGGCAAAGGCAGGGCAAAGGCAGGGCAAAAACAGGGCAAAGGCAGGGCAAAAGCAGGGCAAAGGCAGGGCAAAGGCAGAGCAAAGGCAAAGCAGAAGCAAGGTAAAGGCAGGGCAAAGGCAGAGCAAAGGCAGGGCAAAGGCAGTGCAAAGGCAGGGCAAAAACAGGGCAAAGGCAGGGCAAAGGCAGAGCAAAGGCAGGGCAAAGGCAGGGCAAAGGCAGGGCAAAGGCAAAGCAAAAGCAGGGTAAAAGCAGGGCAAAGGCAGGGCAAAAGCAGGGTAAAAGCAGGGCAAAGGCAGGGCAAAGGCAGAGCAAAGGCAAAGCAGAAGCAAGGTAAAGGCAGGGCAAAGGCAGGGCAAAAGCAGGGCAAAGGTAGGGCAAAAGCAAGGCAAAGGCAGAGCAAAGGCAGGGCAAAAGCAGGGCAAAGGCAGGGCAAAAGCAGGGCAAAGGCAGGGCAAAGGCAGGGCAAAGGCAGGGCAAAGGCAGAGCAAAGGCAAAGCAGAAGCAAGGTAAAGGCAGGGCAAAGGCAGTGCAAAGGCAGGGCAAAAACAGGGCAAAGGCAGGGCAAAAGCAGGGCAAAGGCAGGGCAAAGGCAGAGCAAAGGCAGAGCAAAGGCAGGGCAAAGGCAGGGCAAAGGCAGGGCAAAGGCAAGGCAAAAAGTTTATGTTTAACTTTAAAAAATTGACTTTTATAATATGATGTTTATGTTGTTTCGTTCTTTTTGATTTTGCAATTTTAAGCGTTTTCAAATTGAACCTTTGTTTTTCTATTGTTAGAGAAGTAGATTACCATTTTTTATCATAAAAAATAGTATTTGTGCAAATGATTTTACATATATAGTAGTGTAGTTGTTCTCACGCTTGTATTGATGCACCATGACGCTATAGTTGATTTTTTTCCATTGATACTTGATTTTGATAATCCAATAATTGTTTTATAATTTGTTATTGTATCTAAAAATACCTAAAAGTAACAGATAGTGCAAGGTTACTGTAAGTTGTATTTTTTAGCAAGGTATGGGCGTTGACAGAGTCTTTTTTAGTCTCGGTTTGCAAAATATTGAGCCAATGTTGGCCCGGCTTGAAGAATTTTTGAGATCATCGTGAGTGAGCCGAATAGGTTTAAGACAGGTCGGATATAGCACGCAAAGAAAAGTTGAAAGAAATTTGGCGGAGACGGTTAAAGATCGGCGAAGGTTTGTAAAGATTAGCGGAGGCAGTAGCTGACCCAGTTTTTAGGCTAGGGACTCTGAGCCAGGTTCAAAGGCCGAGTAGTCTATTTTTCTTATTTTATTAGCTTAGCTCTAGCTCAAGCCTTGAATTTACTGTATTTACACTGTTCCTATCAAAAAAATTTTTTTTATTTTCCAACGAGTTGCTCTAGCTCTAGCCTCAGCCCTAGTCCTAACTTAGCAAATTTTGTCTCAAAACTTTTTTTAAACCTTTTTGTCAAGACTAGTTGCATAAACCTTTTTTTATCCCAAATTACCAACATAAATTTAACAAAATTACTCAGACTCTCCAAATCCCTTTTAGTTTTTTTGTTTAAAAGTGTTAAAACCAGTTTGCTTAACAACATCGGATTACTTTTTGCTTTGTAAGAACATCCATAAAACAGTAAAAGAAGATTGTAAAGATTAACCGTCAGCTTTTACAAGGTAATCGTTGGGGATGAGGTAGTTTTGGTTTCAATTATGAGTGGTGCTTCCACCAATTATGAATAGTGCTTATAGTTTGCGGTTTTCTTGTTAAGGTGATTACTTCGGTGTAGTTTAACAGTGGGTTTAGTGTTAAAATCAGTTTTACAAAATAAGTACCCGCCCTGCCACGTTATTTGTAAAATAACTCACCGCCATAATTGATTTCCAAACCGCCCGAACGTTTCATTGTAATTGCTGCGTTGAAATGTGAAGGCTATGGCGGGTTACCCAGTTCCCCTCGTATTGTGAAGGCTAGGGGGGTTACCCAGTTCCCCTCTTATTGTACATTCCATTTTTGGGGCGACACGTTTATTTTTTGAGTGTCCACTTTTGGCGCGGGGACGTTGAGAGGCGACGGAAATGGTTAGAATACTTATTCGCTGGGGTTTAAATCGTTCTTCATAAATGATTTTGGTTTTTTAGAATAAGCCAAGAGTAGAGCTGAGGTTAGGGCTCTGAGTTAGAACTAGGGCTGGGGCTAAGGATAAGGCTAAGGCCAAAATAAAAACTAGGCGAAGAGTGGCGCTGGGGCTGGGACAGAGCTTAGGTTGAGGCTGTGGCTGATACTGTGGTTGAAACTCAGGTTGATGTTGAGAGTGACGATGAAGTTGAGACTGAGGCTAAGGCTGAGCATGAAACTGAGCCTAAACGTAGGGCTGAACTTGAGCTCTAAGTTAAGTTGAAGCTGAGGTTGAGGCTGAGTTTAAGTTTGAGCCCGAACCTGAGCCTGAGCTTGAGCCTGAGCCTGAGCTTGAGCCTGAGCCTGAGCCTGAGCCTGAGCCTGAGCCTGAGCCTGAGCTTGAGCCTGAGCTTGAGCTTGAGCCTGAGCCTGAGCCTGAGCCTGAGCCTGAGCCTGAGCCTGAGCCTGAGCCTGAGCCTGAGCCTGAGCCTGAGACTGAGTCTGAGCTTGAGCCTGAGCCTAAGCCTGAGTCTGAGCTTGAGGCTAAAGGGAGAGTTTAAAGTTGAGGTGAGCTTGAGGCAGAACCTGAACTTGAGCTTGAGTCTAAGCTTGAAGATGAGGGCAAAAAAAAGGGGCTATGGGTAAAAGAGCCTGAGCCTGAATTTGAGCTTGAACTTGAGCTTGAATTTTAGTTTAATCATGAGCCCGAGCTTAAGTCTGAGATCGGGTTTAGAGCTAAGGCTCTGGACTAGGACCCTGACCTTCAATTATTTCAATTTTTCAGCATTTTTCTTGAAAAAACATTATAAATCACGTCGCGTCGCGCGCTTAATTACAACCTCGTTGAATTGACTAAAACTCACACATTTGCAGGTGTTTTTGCCCGGGGCGGAAGATGGCGTTGATGGATAACATGAAGAAACGAACACATCTCGTATCCTCTTTTTTTATTACAATGTTTTGTTTTTTTACTGATCGTATCACACAGAGATTGTATCTTTTTTCGCGGTACGATTGAAAGTTTTTTCGACGTAAATCTTCGGATTTGCGGGTGGTGGGGGTGGGGTTGGCCATGAGTTTTTGGGGGGTTGTTTTGGGGGTGGGTTTCGGTTTTTTGGGTGGATTTTTTGGGGGAAGGTGAGGGTTATCATGGTGAAAAATTAGCTTTAGATGCTTACGTCTATTTGCCATTTCAAGCAATAAATGGCCCTGTTAAAGCCTTAAGCCAAGGCACTACATAACCCCTTTAAAGCCTTGATCTACCGCTCCAAACCAAGCCCTTAGGCCTACATTTCTTCAACAATAGGCCTAAAATCACCCCTAATAAACCTCAACCAAATCCTCGAACTCATGCCCTACTGTTTGAATTTTTTTTGCGTTACATTGACCTTCTATAACAAACGAAAATGCCCTGCAAAAACATTCCGACCGCGCGCCGACCGGCTGGTGGTGGGGGCTCGTTGACCCAGTTTAACACGCACCATGGGGTCAGTTCAGCGCCCCGCGCCCTAAAGTCTTCTTTTTTTTGTGATGGCTTACCTGGGTCGGCACAATTTTGTGCCTTTTTTCCGGTCGAATTGATTGACCGAATGTAAATGTTTGGCTAGCTGCGGTTTTGGGGGGGGGGAGGGGGGGGGGTGGCTGGTTTTGGGGTGGGTGGGTTTATGGTGTTCTTAGCCTTAGCCTGAGGGTTAGCCGTAGTCTTAGCTTTAGTTTTAGCCTTAGTTTTAGCCATAGCTTTAGCTCTAGTTAGTCATAGTTTTATCTTAAGCCTGAGTCTGATTCTGGGCCTAAGTTGAACCTGAGTCATCGTAAGCCTAATTCTTAGTCTTAGCTTTAGCCTTATCCTTTCTCAATATCAAATTTGATCTTAATTTTTTAATTTTGCAAATTCTACAATGTTTTTATAAACAAAATTGTTTTTTGTTCGTACCTTCAATGCATTGTAGTTGCGTACTTTGGTACTTCTGTTTGAACATACAGAATGCTGTTGATGTTTTTACGGCTTCTTATATAATTTCCAAGTACGTGTTTAACTTGTTTATTGATACTGTTTAGCTGAAAATTAATTTTTCTTACAGTATCATAAAGTAATTTTTTTTAAATTTATAAATTTAAACGTTAATTGATCCTTAACTAGCCTATCTTTAAGTTAACTGAGCACCATTAGGACCTAGTCTTTTTTGCAAAGATTGAATCATATTCTTTGACCGAACATAGCTTTACTTTGGTCCTAGTGACGCCCTAGCCTTACCTTTGGCTTATCTTATTTTTTGTCTTACGCTAGTCAACGGTAGTTGTTACTGTACCCTACGGCTCAAAATGGTTTAATCTAACAGGGCATCACTATGATAAGCTTTATCTTGATTATGGTGGTGCCCTAGCCTTACTTTTGCCTTATCTTATCTTTTGACTTACTTTAGCTTAGCGTATATTCTTTCTTTGTTTAAATTTCAATACCTTAGGGTAAAGTTAAAACAAAACTTTGCCTAAATACAAAAACATGTTGCACGAACACGAGTTAATTGCTGACAGTTTATTATGTTGTTTGAAGCGATTATTAACCTCTAAACCATAAAACGTTTGATGAAGGATATAACCCGTTTAAACGACGTCAAGTCGTGTTCGATGATATTTAGGTCAAAACACTTTTTATGTACGATGATTTGTCGACGTCATCTTTGTTGTTGTACTAATAGGCTTATTGTGAAACTTTAAAGTTTGTCGTACTTTTGAGTTTTTATAGTATATTGTAGTATACTACTAGGTAAGCAAATGGTATGTTTAGGGTAGGGTAGGGTAGGGTAGGGTAGGGTAGGGTAGGGTAGGGTAAGGTAGGGTAGGGTAGGGTAGAGTAGGGTAGGGTAGGGTAGGGTAGGGTAGGGTAGGGTAGGGTAGGGTAGGGTAAGACTCTACTAAGCTTAGTCTTGGCTACGACAAGCTTTTTGTAAAATTGTGACACAGTTACAGTAGGATAGGCTATGATATCATATGTAAAGTATTGTCACACATAGTCAAAGTCATTACTTGTGTCAACCATACCATCACCATATATGAACTGAACGATTGTTTTTCGGGTTTATTACCCAAATTATCGGTCGTTAAAAATTTTTATGACATACGACGGGATATAGGCTTGTATACGTGTCGGCTTTTACAGTGTAATGGGTTTGTGACTGTGTGTACGCTGTAATTTGGGTATGGTTTACATTGTTTGAAGGGGCTTGTTACAGTATACTTTGCTTTGGACTAGAGAAATAAGGCTTGGCTAGTATAGGGCTGTTGTTCAGGGTAGGGCTGAGTCTTCCTAGTACTGTAATACATACTACTGTGATAATACTATGTTACAGTTCTGTACATGTGTGGTTTTGTTTTTGACATACATTGCGGTATGATTGATGGTATAGGCGGCGAAACTGGTTACGCTGATCGATGTTCTTCAACATAATCTGGTATGATTAGCCTTTAGGGTGGGGGGGGGGATGACGTCGAAGGGATTTGAAATGGGTTTAGTCAGAACAGTAATTGGATCCGGAAACAGTTTAGCCTGGCGCGGTTGAGTGTTAAGTTTTAGCTAAATATTGGTCACATTTGAGCCAAATTAGGGTTATAAGGTATAGCCAAATAAGGATAACTAACACAAGTAGCATTGGGCTTGGCCGAATTAGGACTGGTATTACTGTATTACCTAAATATAATTTTAAGACTAATTTAGCATTTGTGGTCGTATAAAATGAATTTTTTTTGTGTTGGAGCTCTTTTTTACTGTAATTTTAAAATTTACTTTGATATTTGTGGTATACTTTTGATCGTATAACATGTCACTAATCCCCAATTTTAATCGTTTTTCATAATTTTTAAAGCACATTTTTTTGTTTTATAGTTGTTATAGGTACTAAAAGCATTATTTTTTGATTTTATATTTATTTTTTGACATAATGCATTTAGACACCTTTTGTCGTATAACATGTCTCTTTTAAATTTTTTTCGCTTTTTTTGATAAATATTTTATAAGTACTTAAAAAATTTTTATTTTATAGGCATTTTAAGTATTAATACCCATTAATTTTTTGATTTTGTATATATTTGTTGACATAATGCATATGGGCACTTTTGCTCGTATAACATGTCTCTTTTAAACTTTTTTTTTGTTTTTCTGATACCTTCTGTCAAAAAATTTGTTTTGATTATGTTTTGCTGTTATTATGAGCTCATTTTTTTGCATTTTTAATTTTTTGGGGTATAGCTTAAAATGGCAGTTATAATATCAGTTCAAAAATCGACCGAATTTTTTAATTTTACCACACTTTTTGATCTCTATGCCTCTATATAACATTGATAATGGCTTTTGTGACAAAATTTTCAATTCTATATACTTTTTGACCGCCGATCTCTATATAAAACTAAAACTTTCTTCCATGCTAAAACTTTCAATTCTATATACTTTTTGACCTCAATGCTCCTTCTATATGTACTACGTATCATCAAAAATTGATCTCCTGCGTTCATGCCCAAACTTGAACTGTCATTACTTTTGTTTTGCGAAACAAAAATCAGTAACAATTCCAGTTTTGTTACTCGCAAAACAAGCCGGCTGTACGGTAGTTATCAATGACCTTGCTGATAAGTTTGCATTCACGCTGTTTACATGTTAAATTCCCATTATTTTTTGTTGGTTTATTACACTGGCCGTGCTGCGTTTGGCTGTTCTTTGACCCCTCCGGGGTTTTGCTTATTATCTTTGTTCAGGACCTTTGAACTAATTTGTTATGGTTTTTTTAATATTTTGATAAAACATGAGGTTATTTTTGCTGTTTTTGGGATGTCACTGTTTATTTTGTCAATTTTTTGAATTTTCATTAGGTTATGGACAAGGCTAGGGCTGAAGACAAGATTTAGTTTTAAGATTTTACGACAATATAGACCTAACCCTACCCTAGCAGAAAAAAGTAGAATAAGGTGGTACAAAGTAAGACAGTAAAGCATAGAATAATTAAAGTGTTAAAGAAGGTTGAAGTTTGGTAAAGTTAATGTCGAAGAAGCGTACTTTCTAACTCTAGCACAGGTAAAAAACGGCAGGTCAGGCAAGGGGTGAGCATTTAATAAGGATTATGTAGGACAAGGAAAGGGTTGGACAAGTATTAGAGTTGACTAAAGCTGATCAAAGTTTGCGCAAGAGTTAGTCTTGAATAAGGCTAGAAAAACGTACTTTTAGGACAAGGCTAAACCTAACGCTCAAGCTAAGGCTTAAGCTAAAGCTACGGCTTAAGCTAATCCTAAGGCTGAACCTAACGCTGAAGCTAAGGCGCAAGCCCAGGCTCAAGTTCAGGCTCAAGCACAGTCTCAGGCTTAAGGCTCAAGCTCAATTACAGACTCAAGGCTCAGGCTCAAGCTCAAGCTCAGGCTCAGGCTCAGGCTCAGGCACAGGCTCAGGCTCAGGCTCAGGCTTAGGCTCAAGCTCAGGCTCAGGCTCAGGCTCATGCTCAGGCTAAGGCTAAGGCTAAGGCTCAGGATCAGGCTCTGGCTCATGCTCATGCTTATGCTCAAGCTCAGGCTCAGGCTCAGGCTAAGGCTCAGGATCAGGCTCTGGCTTAGGCTCAGGCTCAGGCTCAGGCTCAGGCTCAGGCTCAAGCTCAGGCTCAGGCTCAAGCTCAAGCTCAGGCTCAGGATCAGGCTCTGGCTCATGCTCATGCTTATGCTCAAGCTCAGGCTCAGGCTCAGGCTCAGGCTAAGGCTCAGGATCAGGCTCTGGCTTAGGCTCAGGCTCAGGCTCAGGCTCAGGCTCAGGCTCAGGCTCAAGCTCAGGCTCAGGCTCAAGCTCAAGCTCAGGCTAAGGCTCATGCTCAGCTAAGGTTTAACCTCAGGTTCAAGCCTAAGCTCAGGCAATAAAGCTAAGCAATGCAAGCTTATTCATTGTCAATACCTACTATACCTATCCCTTTTGTAACAATGTTTGTATTTAAAATTAATCAAAATGGTCTTTTCGAGCGTTTTTTACTTTGCTCAAAATACTTTTTGTTGTAGCTTACTAATCGATTGATAAAAAACTTATTGGTTGTAAGAATGTTTGTGGTTTTTTGTTTTAACTGTAATAATGAAGAAGGTCGTTTTGGAAAGATTTTTGGTTTTTAACCACATTTTGGGCAAAAAATCAAAAACACTTTTATAAGATCTTGGTTTGTACTTCTGTACTATATAGTACTTGTATTGAAAATTACGTTTTTGGTATTTTTTATATTTGTATTTTGATGCATTACTTGCTTTTTTTAACCTCAAAAAAAATTTTTTTGTAGTTTTTGCTTAAAATAATCGACCGGTCGATAAACTTAAAAATGCTAAATTAAACGTGACGTTACCCTATAGTATTACCTATAATTTAATCAACTTATCTTTAGTATAAGTAGTTCCAGTATCCGTTTATAACTATATTATTGTAGGTAATGTCCGAGGATTTGGGCCCCCATGACCAGTCCAATTCTCCAACGACCAGCACTGCTACACCTTCATACGATCCCACGATAAAGACAGAATCCGAAAATGGGTCTCAAGATAATAATAATTCAATTTATCAGCAGTATGAAACAAATTATGTTGTGATGGACCATCAGGAACCTACCTCAATGTCCGCTTATCTGTCATCAACGTTTAGTTTACTTGAAAGTGATCCGAACAACCCTTGGTAAGCAGTTTTTGATAACTACCCTACCCTACCCTACCCTACCCTACCCTACCCTACTTTACTCTACCCTACCCTACCTACCCTACCCTACCCTACCCTACCCTACCCTACCCTACCCTACCCTACCCTACTACAAAATGCTCTTGCTCTATTCTATCTTACTTTGTTCTACCATGTCTTACCATTATTACTACTGCTGAACCCTACCGTACCTAATAAATACTTAATACTGTAGCTGTTACTTAGCTTTACAGTATGTACCGGCCATAAATACAGTATTCTGTACCACTTATAAGCAACTCTGAACTTTTTCAGTAGCTTCAGGAATCAAGAGCAGAAAGCGGTTTACTACGAGCGCAACCAAACCTATTATCAGCAACCGGTTCAAGTGAACGGATATCCACAGTACATGATGGACCATGAACCCGTCCACAACGACCCGCATCAGGATTACAATTATGAGGTAGGGTACTGAAATTTTAAAAAAGTTAAACGTTTTCTTAAAGATAGGTATACTGTAAGCTAGGTATAAGCGTAGAGGTATAGGTAAAGCTTTTTTAGTATTTAAAAAAATTTCTTGACGTTTTTTGGTTTGTAAAGAAAGTTCTTGCCATTTTTTGATTTGTAAAGAAAATTCTTGCTATTTTGCGCTTTGTAAAGAAAGTTCTTGCCATTTAAAATAAGTTCCTCCTTTGCATACTGTATTCACAGTAAATTTTTACGCTTTTGCTGTTGACTAGAACGCTTTACTGTGCTTCGTAGCCGGAATTGTAGCATTACAGTAGTTTTACATTTCTGGCTACAATTTTAAACGTAAAATGGTAAACAATTACAATTACGTCAAAAGTTTACAACGTTTTTGCCTTGTGATTTCCTTAAAGTCGAGGAATAATAATATGACGATTACGCTTGGCATTATGTAGTTGTTAGAGTAGGTTAGGGTAGGGCGGGGCAGGGTAGTTTATAATAGGGTAGGGTAGAGAAAAACGAACAAAGTCAAGAACCTGTGAAGCAAAGTGCCCGACATGCCCCGCTCAAGATCAGCCTAAAAAATTGGTTTTCTACTAGTATGTCAAAGAAAAATAATCGAAAGTCAAAAAATGACAACGTTATAAGTTTGAAACACAATGCCAATTTGGCATAAAATTCAAAACTTATTTTGATCTCGATTTTTTCAAGATTTCCCGGAAAGCGCGATTTAGTACTTTACTGAGGATCTTATATTTACATGATCTTCCTGTTAAAAAAATTTGAAGTCAATCAGAACGGTAGTGCATCTTGCAAAATCAAAAAAATTACGTTTTGAATTCCCCGCCAAACTGGCATTGTGTTTCAAGCTTTTAACTTTGCCATTTTTTGAGTTTTTACTATTTTTCTTTAATATACTGGTTGAAAACCGTCAAATAAACCTACATTTTTTAATTTGTTAGCGTAGCTTGTCTGGAAAGTAAAAAAAAAGCTTGAAACACAATGCCAAATTTTTCAAATTGGCGGGTATTTTAAATATTTAAAATTTAAAACCTAAAAATAAAATTTTTTATGGGTACTATAGAGAGTAAAAAGAAGTTATTTAAAAATTTTGATGTGTTTCTGATGGGTACTACTCTTCTTAATATAAACAAAAACTTTAAAAATCAATATTTGCAGCCCGCCGAAAAACGTCAACGATTTCCATCAACAGCACGTCAATGTCAACAAGAATATACGGACAATTTTCGACGTTTCATCAACATTCCATCCACATCGACCGGTCCAAACTCAGCTCCAGCCACGAATAACAGTGAGGATTCTGGAGTTCAATCTCCAGAAGGCAGTGACGAAACCGACTCGGAAGGGTCGGTTTCTGGTGGGGGCACGGTGATGTGCCCGGCGTGCAAAAATGTGTACAATAGTCCGAGGTAGGTCAAGAGTTCTTTAAATTTTTTAATTTGCAAGAACTTTCTTGACAAAACATAAAACGGCAAGAACTTTTTTTACAAAACGAAAAATGGCAAGAACTTTCTTTACAAAGCAAAAAACGGCAAGAACTTTTTTTACAAAGCAAAAAATGGCAAGAACTTTCTTTACAAAACAAAAATGGCAAAAACTTTCTTTACAAAGCAAAAATTTTTAAAAATGAATTTAAAAATTCAAAAAATTGTCACTCTTTTCCCCCCCTCCCCCCCCAATATAAAAATCGAAGATGCGCACGTGAAACGTTTAAAAAATGTTTTTGCAGATCCCTGACCGGTCACATCGGTCGGACCGAGAAGTGTCGTGAAGCAATTGGGCGCGATTATCTGGAGGATATAATGAAGCGGGGTGATTCCGTTTGTATACCGGATGCTGGCGCCCCGGGCGAAGGGATTAGCCCGGTTTGCCCGCATTGTAACCGCTTCATTTCCCACTACAAGGTAAGGAGGGGGCTTCGCGCCGGACTGGACCGCTTTTTTTTTGGGTTTTGGACTGGACCGCTTTTTTTGGGTTTTGAGAGGTTGGACATGTTTTTGATGGACTGGACTAACATTTAGATTTTTTTCTTTTAAAAACCAATTTGTTATACTTGACAATACGCTGAAGCAAAGGAAGGCATGGGTAAGAGATGGGCTTTAAAGCAAGGCTTGGCACGGGTGAAGACTGGGCGAGTGGTTTTTTGCACTAGGGTTAAAGGTAGGGCTAGAAATTAAGGCAGGGTTAAGAGTTATAGCAGAAAAAGGGATACGAGCTTAGGCAGCGTTACGGTAGGACTAGGGATTAAGCTAGGTAGAGTAGGGTAGAGCAGGATTAGGGTTTAACTATACACTAGCCCTACCTTGGTAGAGTTAGGGTCGGGCCAGAGTAGGGCCAAGGTAAAGCCAGAGTGGAGCCAGGGTGTGGCCAGAGTATGACCGATGTAGGGTTTGAGTAGAATCAGGATATGTATGTCTCGGGCTCAATGGGTAGTGTAGGGTAGGGTAGGGTAGAGTAGGGTAGGTTAGGTAGGGTAGGGTAGGGTAGGGTAGGGTATTGTAAAAGGCTTTTGTGTATTTTTTTGGCTTTATTTTTAGAAAGTCAGTGTTATTTTGTTTTTGTATCTTTTTCTTGTTGTATATAAAACTGTAGCTTCAGTTACAGTTTTATTTTTTTAAGAGTTTAAGAGCGCATCTTCCCAATTCTTACACATACCGTAAATTCCTTTCATTCTACATTAACTTTACGATTTATAATTTATATACTTTTTGACTTTTCAAATTGTACTTGAAGCTAATTTCAACATTTCCATCAATCCACTTGTAGCAATATAAAAAACAAAGTAATTGTAGGCTAACACTACAAATCCCGGTCCATCCTATTCAAAGTACGGTAGCTTTACGATGTAAAAACATGCGTAAATTGTAAAAACTTACCGAGTTGTAAGAACAGTAAAGAGTTGTAAAAAGAGTTATTAATTGTAAACAGCTCCACCCATTCATTTACTTCACCCCGCTTCGTATGACATTACTTTTTGTAATGGTCAAGGTCGGAGGCATTTTTGATTTACGAGCCCGCCCGCTCCACTTTCCAGTTCAGCTGCAGCGCGTGCGGTTTGTGTTTGAATGCAGGGGGTAGCAAAAGTTTTGGCTGGATGTAATTTCTTGCGGTTTGGTTGTATCTACAGTTCAAAATGACATTTTTAATGGTTTTTTTAGTATTTAGGCTAGGAAAGAGGACCGGGTTTAGTGGTGCGATGGGAGAGGGGATTCATTCATGAAGGGGGGGGAGAGTATAAAGATTAGAAAAAATGATTTTGTGTGGTGTGGTAAAGGAGGAAGGTAAAAGGTGCGATGTTTTTTTTAAATAAAATTTTCTCCCCCTCCCCCTTCTGTTGATTTAAAAAATTTCAAAATTAGATCGTTTAGGGATTTTTAGCTTTGTTTTTACAAAGCGCTAGCTTTTGCTTTGTCTTTTCCTGGCTAGTCTGATCTTATACGGCCTTGTCCAGTCTTCCTGTCTTACTCTGTCTTGGCCGGTCTTGCTCGGCCTTTTATAGCCCAGCCTTGTCCGGTTTTTTCCGGAATTTCGCGGCCCTGCCTTGATTTTGGTTACCTTGTTATACCCAAACTCTAGCCCTACACATATCCTTGGTTCTCTCTCAAGCAATTGCTCTTTACCTATGCCAATTTTTTCAAAATTTTTTCTTCAACCAAAATCAACCGGTCACTATTGTTAGCGAGAAAAAATTTACGTGAAGGAATATTTTGCAAATTTATTTATAAAAAAAACCTTTTATCGTATGTGTTGTTGTTTTTTTTATTTCTTCAGAGTTTTGCGTTGTAAACAATCTTCTAAGGTTGTTTATTAGTTTTCTTAATTTGTGTTGTCACCTAGAGCTTTTATATCGAGCTTGTCACCTTAGAATCTTAGTAGAATGTTTGCGGCAATATATTTTGTAAATTTAACTTTTAGCTCTGATTTTTTTTGTCCTTTTGACATTTCTTCTACTTTGTGAGAGGGCGCTGAAATAAGTAAACGGCTTAAAACATCTTAAAATTCAAATTTTTTTAGTTAAAAAAAATTTTTTTAATTTTTGAAATTTTTTGTAATTCCACGAAAATTAATTAAAATCTCCATTCAGGGAAACATTCGACGCCACGTGAACGCGTGCCGCAGGGCGAGCCCGCGCAAGGAATCTAATGCGTCCGGCGGCGACCCAACCACGATGACCCCGTTCGGCTACAGTGGAATGGGATCGGCGGCGTCGTCGTTCGATCTGGCTTCTTCCACCACCACCACCACCTCGAATCCGAGCGCCATGTCGTTGGAGGAGCAGTGCTCGTCCGGCGCTTCGTCGTCGAAGGGCGAGGTGAAGTTGGAGAGTATGACAAGGCTGGAGGGTATGGCAAGGTCTGAGGGTATGACGAGGTCTGAGGGTATGGTTAGGCTGGATGGTATGACGAGGTTGGATAGTACAAGACTGGAGAGTATGACCAAGCTAGATGGTATGAAACGTGACAGTGGTGTAGGTCATGACGGTGTTGTATATACAGAGAGTTTACTAAAGCTGGAAAGTCAAGACGCAAACCTTCATCACGATATTCACCATGAAAGCTTGATGAAACTCGACGGTATGAGCCACGACAGCATACATCACCACATGCTAACACATGAAGATATGATAAAACAAGAAGTAATGATGCTACCTCACCACTACAACCATCACATGGACAACATGAATCCAATTCAACCCTACCAACCCCTTCAACATCACATGGGCTACATGCATCCGGACGATCCTGTAGTTCATCAAATGCAAATGTCTCATCGACTACCTCACGGCTACGTGGACTACATGCCCTACGACAATATGAGCATGCCAATGTATCAGCCAGTTTATAACCAACTTGATGTCATGCCTCAGCCTGTACCAGTACAACCAGATCAACCAGCTCCGACCAAGTCCAGGCCTCCTAAACATAATGGCATGGTAACGCCGGATGATCCGTACGTATGCTCGTGGTGTACGTTCACTACGGTGTACAAGGGTAACATGAAGCGACACTTGATAAGCTGCCATAATTGTAACGACGAGTTGCTGAGGAAGTACAACTTTGAGCTGGAGAGGCTACGAAAGAGTGCAGCGTGCCGTGCCGGTCCAGACTCTCTACCATTCATTGAGATTCGACCAGCTCAACCCCCAGGGACACGACGGCCACGGAACACCAACTCAGCCCACAAGAACATGGGGCGGCCGAAGAAGGACAAGGATGTTAAGCGAGAACTTATGGACTCACCAAAAGTCATGCTGGACAACAAAGCCATGCTAGATCAGTCAAGAATTCTAGACAGAAATAGCATGCTAGACCAAAACAAGCTCATGATCGACCAGTCGAAGCTGATGCTTGACAATAAAGTGATGATCGACCATCAAATGCCATATGTCGATGCAAATGGCATTCAGTACTCGGTAGTACCACCACCACAAACCATGGATTCTTATGAGATGTCAATGCAGTTCATGAATCAACCGGCACAAGTGCTGGCTGCTCCTAATGTCAACTATGGACTGATTAAGGACTGTGGTAATGATAGTGGCATGGGGGTTCAAGAAGAGTTTGGGGAGGTGAACCAACCACTTCCTGGGTATTAAGTAAGTATTTTTTTGTAATTTAATGTTACTTTTTTAAAACTCGGATTTGAGAAACGGTATCATGATGATATATCATAGCTCTAGCTTTATCTTTATTCCTAGCTCTCGCCTTAGCCTTAGGTTAGTTCTGATAAAAAGATATGCAACATACAGGATGAAAAGCAATAAAACGTTACAAAAGAAATTATTTTTAAAAACCGCTAGATTTTTTTTGGCTAACGAGATATTGGAAACCAAAGAATTTACATATGGTTTTCTTTGGCCTTTTCTTTTTGCCTTGAGCAAAACCAATGGATTGAAACATCATTTTAATAGGGTCGAGTAGGCCTGAAATAGAGCCTACTAGGCCGGGCCATGGCAAATTTGAAAGAGGCTAGGCCGAAACATTAAGCCCGACCTGTTTCTTTTACAAGTCTTGGTTGAATAGCCAAGTGCTTAGTCTAGACTGCAAGTTCGAATCCCGCTACTTTAATTTTGGCGTTTTGTTATTATAAAAAGAAGTTTTGCCTAGTCAAACCACATTTTGATTTAAAAATATTTGTTAGTTATAATTTTTGCTTTTAACTACTTTTTGAAAAAAATATTTATTATAGAAATATAATTTTTTGAATCTCAAAACTATACCTTCTAAACATATAAGAATATTGAACTCCTGTAACTCGCGTGCCAGGTTTATTTAGCAGTTTTTGAAAATAGTTTTGTATGTAACTTTTTTTGCTCTTTCATCCTATATAGGTATCTTTCTAAAAGCAGAAGGAGATTTGGTGCAAACCCCTAGTAAAAGTCAATCAAACGGCTTGTACTAGGTTCAAATTTGGTCAAAAAATTTTAAAAAAGTGGTCTTAAACACACTAAAAGTATTTTTCCCAAAGTTATATTTATACTTTTTTATAATCCTACTGTAATTTGTTTTTCATACTGTACTTTCCCCATACCGTACACCACCAGCCGCACTCGTAAATTTTAATAATACACTAAAAATGAGTGTCAAGTCCGTTCGAAAATATGAAAAATCAATTCCGCTGCAAGCAATTGACCTTGTTTCGGCGCGCTAGCACTAATTAAAATGCGGGCAGGGGTGGTGGGGTTCCGGCAAACGCGTAATTAAAATTTTATGTAAATGCGGTTTTTGTACGAGCTTGAGTAATTAGGGGGGGGGGAGGTTAAATGGGATTTTTTTTGGTTTATGGGGGTTTTTTTTAAATATAAAATTTTAAAATAAAAAAAATTTGTGTTTTTGAAAAAATATGTTTTTTTTTTAAACTTTGAAAAAAAAATTATTTTTTAAAATTAAAATTATTTTTTCAAAAAATTAAAAAAAAGTTTTTTTGGTAAAAACATCACCAGTTTTGCCTAAGGCGTAATGAAGACAATTTGAAAAATTATCAAAAACAGTACAAAAGTTAAAAAAAGACAGTAAAACAGTATTAAAGACAAAAAGCACGTTGTAAAAGTCACAGTGTAACGCACCCATCGTACTTTACCTGCCTCTTTCATAATAATATAAAGCGGAACTTTTTTTGCAAAAATAGTCAAGTGTTTCTAATGACGTCCTTCATTGTAATATAAAAAGGTTTATTACAATAACAAGTTCTAAGTAAAACTCTTTACTAAATAAAAAGGATTTTACGTTACAAAACTTAGCCCAGAGCCCTAGCCCAAAGCCCTAGCCTAGAGCCCTAGCCCAGAGCCCTAGCCCAGAGCCCTAGCCCAGAGCCCTAGCCCAGAGCCCTAGCCCAGAGCCCTAGCCCAGAGCCCTAGCCCAGAGCTCTAGCTCAGAGCTTAGCCTAGACATGAGAAACGGGCCGGGTCAACATTGTGCAAAATTTCGATCGGACCAAGCAAAACTTTTAATCGGACCGGGCTTGAAAATTAAGCCCGGTTCGGCCCGTTTCTCATGTCTACCTAGCCCAAAATTGTAGCCTTGAGCTCTAGCCCAGAGCCTTAACTCAGAGCCTAAAAGCTTTAGTTTTAGCCCCAGGCCCAGCTTCATCTCCAGCTTTAACCTAGCCCTACTTAGCCTTTGCTGTATCATTGACTTTACTCTACCTTACTTTACCCTATCTACAGCATAGCTCTACCTTTACTCTTCTTTGAGGTTTATTTTAGGTTTTTGCATAGTCAGCTAGCCTCTAATTTTTATTTTCTAATATTTCATTTTCAGGAATCAACTGCCGACTACACCAGCTAAAACAACATTACACATATCAATCATAGAAAACCCGACTATGTTCAATATAGGATTCTAAGCCCATTTTTTCTATTTTTATCATTTTTCTTTACTTATCATACACCTTGTTGTACTAATTAGTATAGTATTTTAACATTTTTAATTAAAAAAGTACGTTACGTAGTAAAACAAGATCACAAAACAACATACCAAGGGTAGTCATTCATCAATATATATCAGCGATAGTCACAAATTGTAGTTTTTCTAACTTTATTCTAAAGTTTACATTATCTTGTATTTTTTTACAGTATGCACGGGCTGTAGCTGTACGTACTAAGACAGTGCATGGTACGTGCTATACTAGTACTTACTGTTATAGTATGTACTACTCACTGTAGTTGTACGTACTGACACAATATATAATACATGTTTTAGTAGTACGCACTGTCACAGTACGTTGTACTCAGAGCCGGGCGGGGACTTTTGGTCTGGGGGCAGAGGTCCAAAAAAATCGGCACAGGACCTGTGCCGATTTTTTTTCGAAATTTTTTTTTCGAAAATTCACAGGGGGGACCACGTTCAACTTTTTTTCTGGGGGGGGTACCCTCCCCGTCCCCCCCTCGCGCCCGGCCCTGGTTGTACTTACTCTAGTAGTATGTGCTGTTACAATACATACTTTCTGTAGTAATACGTAATGTAGTAGTATGTAGTACTTACGGTAGTAGTGCGTACTTGTACAGTACATAGTACTTACTGTTGTTGTAAATTACTTTTACAGTACGTAGCACTTACTGTATTAGTAGTTACTGGCACAATACTGGGTACTTACGGTATTCGTACGTACTACCAATACACAGTGCTTACTGTAGTAAAACCTATTGCTACAGTACATAGTACTTACTGTTGTTGTAAATTACTTTTACAGTACGTAGCACTTACTGTATTAGTAGTTACTGGCACAATACTGGGTACTTACGGTATTCGTACGTACTACCAATACACAGTGCTTACTGTAGTAAAACCTATTGCTACAGTACATAGTACTTACTGTTGTTGTAAATTACTTTTACAGTACGTAGCACTTACTGTATTAGTAGTTACTGGCACAATACTGGGTACTTACGGTATTCGTACGTACTACCAATACACAGTGCTTACTGTAGTAAAACCTATTGCTACAGTACATAGTACTTACTGTTGTTGTAAATTACTTTTACAGTACGTAGCACTTACTGTATTAGTAGTTACTGGCACAATACTGGGTACTTACGGTATTCGTACGTACTACCAATACACAGTGCTTACTGTAGTAAAACCTATTGCTACAGTACATAGTACTTACTGTTGTTGTAAATTACTTTTACAGTACGTAGCACTTACTGTATTAGTAGTTACTGGCACAATACTGGGTACTTACGGTATTCGTACGTACTACCAATACACAGTGCTTACTGTAGTAAAACCTATTGCTACAGTACATAGTACGTACTGTGATAGTACGTACTGTTACAGTAGATAGTACTGACAATAGTGATACATACTGTATTTGCACGCACTGCAAAATACATAGTAATTACTGTAGTATTACGTACTGTTAAAGTAAGTAGTACTGTACTAACATGTATTGTACTTTTTTCTCCTCTAATGTTATATTACATTACAAATGTCAATTTTATATCAAACATCATTTAATATCTTGTGTTTTGTCACATTTTACCATCTTCTTTACAAGTTTTTATGTCACATTTGTTATTGTATCTTGTCAGGAATATCGCATTTTTACATTGTATTTATTTCACAAATTTTTAATATCAATCGTATTTTACTCTTCACTCAATTGCCATGAAAATTTTATCGGAAAAATACGAAAAACAATAAATAATTACCTAAACAGTTAAGTGGATTTTGTAGTAGATGGTAGTCTTAAACTCATAACCACAATAACGTCGGGCAGGCCATTTTAATTTGTAGAAAAGTGGTAGTAGGGTTGGGTAAATATAAGAAAGTAGAATTCAGCGGAAGTGGGAGGGGGAAGGAGGGTTGGGTACTGTACGGTAGCATAGGATGCAATAGGATGAAGAAACCCTAAAGTATGGCAGGACAAATAACGTAGGGTAGGGTAGGGTAGGGTAGGGTAGGGTAGGGTAGGGTAGGGTAGGGTAGTGTAGGGTAGAGTAGGGTATAACATAGTACTACCAAGGTAAGTATTAGTAATTTATTGGCTTAACTGACAGTCGGTGAACTTTTAATTTCTTATCTTGAAGATGAAAAACAGAGGTACGTTGAGCTGTATTTACAGGTTTCGTGGTCGAAACAAAGCCAGACTGATTTAAAAATGAAGATGATTCTTTGTGAAGTATACCTATACGTCGTAAAGTGTACCTACGATAAGGTCCTATGAAAAGGATGGTCATAACCGATGAAAAAGTGGCTTGAGAAGCTGCTATTAAAATCCCAATTTTAGCTGTAAAACTACTAAATGGTCGGCCGATTAGCGCTGATGTGAAAGCAATGCCAACTGGGAATAGTACAAATATTAATGGCACTAGAAGCTGAAAAGGTGATTATCAATTTTGAAGAGGATATAAACTATCCTACCCTACCCTACCCTATTCTACCCTACCCTACCCTACCCTACCCTACCCTACCCTACCCTACCCTACCCTACCCTACCCTACCCTACCCTACCCTACCCTACCCTACCCTACCCTACCCTACCCTATCCTACCCTACCCTACCCTACCTTACCCTACCCTACTCTACCCTACCCTACCCAACCCTACCCTACCCTACCCTACCCTACCCTACCCTACCCTACCCTACCCTACTCTACCCTACGCTACCCTACCCTACGCTACCCTACCCTACCCTACCTTATCCTCCCTATCTTACCCTCACCGTATTGTAGCCCAAACTCACTCTACTCTACCCTTATTATAGCTTTATCATAGCCGTACCTTACTCTACACTATCCTGACTTTAACATACTTTACCCTATCCTACTTTGTTATATCCTTACCTTAGCCTTATTCTACTCTACTCATCTTACTCTACATTTAACTTTATGTATCTTACTGTAGTTTATCTTAGCCCTTTCTTAGCTTCACCATAGACCAACGCCCGTTGTACCTAACACAATGTCTTGCCCTAGCATTTGAGTCTCAGCTAGCCGTCAATTATCCTAACCTGCTTCTTTCGCTTTTTCTTGCTTTACCGTGCTTATTGTAAGCTGCCTTACTTTACCCCCCCTCCCTTCTCCTCCTTCCCCCTCCGTTCCTTTTCGAAGGCTTTTTTAAGCCGTCTCTTACCTGTATACCCAACAATCCAGTAAGTTGTCTATGCATCCTATAAGTACTCTTTGAAAAAAAGGCATGTTGTTTCCTAATAATATACAGTATGTACCGTACACATAGTAAATATGCCATTTCAGCAGCCATAGCAATGCCAAAAATGACATAAATAATGCCCTTAAACTCTGTATTTTCACTTTTAAACAAAATCCGATAAGAGTTTGGCAGAATTGGATCAACCTCCCATAAGTTACGTTGTCTCAACAGTTCGGCCGCCTGACTTTGGCTACACAAAACGCTACACAAACCGAAGCCAATGCCAAATATTATCGTTTCACTGAAGATTATGTAGATTACTGTGCATATAGGTTTAGTTACTATGCGGCTGAATGTTTCTTGAGGTAAGATAACGACGAATCTGTAGGCTAAACCATAGTTTTGTAAGGCTACGAGATTGCCAGCAAATAAGGTTACTAGGAAGATCTGGAAAATGAAATAAAGTCTACTTAATGTTTTCAAGAACTTACACTAATATAAACTCCATTCTCTCCGATCCAAGCGGCCATACCTTCCATTTTAAGGCCTGTACCTGGGAATGGGTCACCCGGCTGAAAGAATATTATTTTATAAAAGTAGCACAAAAACAAGCAATTTTATATAGTGAGGAGTACCGGTTATCAAAAGGCATATCTGTCGTAATAGCATGTTAAAGAGAAAGCAAGGTAAGCTAGAAAGAAAACCCACTAGACAAGCCAAGAAAAATTTGAAAAAAAACTAACAAGGAAAGTACCCTACCTGCTCCGCTAAGAATCAGCTCAAAATTTTTATATAAATTCTTTGTACCACCAATAGTACCCATAAAAAATTTTAGCTCTTGAGTTTTAAATTTAAATTATTTAGGTTTCCCGCCAATTCGGCAAATTTGGCATTGTGTTTCAAGTACTGTTTTCGGCTTTCCAGACAAGATACGCCTACAAATTTAAAAATATAGGTTCGTTTAAAGGTATTTTACTAGTATATGAAAGAAAAATTATTCAAAGTCAAAAAATGACAAAGTTACAAGCTTGAAACACAATGCCAAGTTGGCGGGAAATTCAAAATGTCATTTTTCAATCTCGATTTTTTCGTCATTTCCTGGAAAGCGCGATTTAGTACTTTGGGGAAGATCTTATATTTACACAATCTTCCTATATAAAAAGTTTGAAGTCAATCAGAAGGGGGCAGGTCGGGCACTTTCCTTATCAGTTTAGGTCCCGCAACGAAAGACTTGTCTTGCGAAAGAAATTTTTTAAAAGTCGGTCTCCAAAATTTGGTTTGGCCTTGCCTCTTCACAAGCCTTAAAGCAAGGTAAAAAATTATATTTAAAAAAATTTTGCTTAAAAATGACCATAGAGCAAAGGCCAGGGAAGTAGGACAAAGAAATATGTAAAACAATGTAGAGAAGGTTATTAAAAAAGACTACTTTTTAAAATTTTTCAAAAAAACTTACCACGGGAGCCAAGAAAAACCCAATAACTGCAGTTAAAATCATGTCATTCAGCTAAAAAAAATTGAAATTTAAAAAAAATTAAAACTTACAGTAGAAACGACCAGAAAAAGTCGGTATGCTCCCATAGTTTTTGGAGATCTTATTGTGACGACAAAGATAACATAAAGTTGAATTAGAACTGAGGTAAAAGATAATACACTATTTATAAAGTGGAACCATGTTGTCTTCATTATGCTATACTCACACTATAAAAAAGATTTTTAATTGTTGCTGTGAAAAATGGCATTACATTTTGAAAGAAGAGTTACACTGCGTTTAAAGCCGTTTACTATAGGTATAGTATATACAACGGAAACTCCGTATAATGAATTTCTATATAACGAAACCTCTGTATAATGAACAACTATTGAAACCCCGGCTTTCATTACACAGTGCATTTATAACCTCTTTATAACAAACAAATTTTAATTCCCCTAGGGGTTCGTTATATAGAAGTTTTACTGTACTACACAAAGTAAAAACGTTGTTAAGATGTAAGCAAATTCTTTACTACTTTTATATAGCCCAATATCCCACCTTACCATACCCTACTTTTACCTTTTTGGACCATACTGCAGATTCATACTATCTTAGTCTTTTCGTATTCCTTTCTATAGACAAACTCTAGCCGTACCTAAATAAACGTTGCCCTACCTCCTCAACCCTTACCCTATCCATAGTCTTGCCCCAAACTGTTCTTATCTAGCTCTTACTGCACATAGTTTTCAAAATGAATTTAGACTCTTTATAACTGTAAGTCATAATATATTCAGGAATGTACCCAAATTGTTTCCATAAATTAATCAAATTCTTTATCAAGTAGCATTTAAAACCAAATTGAAACACCATGCTATATTATTCAACATTAACTATTTCAGCTGGACTTTAAACACAAAAAGTGGATTAAAAAATAATTTTGGAAATTAAAAGGGTAGGGCGTCTTAAAACGTTTAAAGTTAGCAAAAAGACCACTTAAAAATATAAAAAATTGACGTTTACAGTAGTGCAGTACTAGACATAGTATCAGCTGATAAAGCGTCTAAAAAATATATGTTTAGGGTGGAGTAGGATGAGTAGGATGGAATAAGGTGAAGTAGGGTAAAGTAAGGTGGGGTAGGATAGGGTATGGTAGAATAAGGCACTGTTAACTTTTAATCATACACAAAGTTACTAAATGTAAATAGTTATTGAATTACTTTTTGACAACGAAGCTTTAAAATGGAATTATACGGTTCTGGTAACATACGTTATTAAACTCATGTTTCTCATAACATAAATATTAAAGCATAACATGTAATTAATCTCAAACAATTGGTCAGAAACTAATTTTACCTTATCTCTTATAAATTTTTGCAAGGCTGCAAATATAAAAGTTTAAAAGATTACAGAAGTATGTATGTACAGTATGTCTATCAAACACTTATCACGATAGAATACGGTAAAGTACAGTAAGGTTAAAGTAGGATTATGATAAGGCAAAGCCAGAAAGAAATTAAAAGTTTAAAAGTTATAAAATATAGTATGAAATGGCTAAATTAAAGTAGAATAGGATTTGGGTTTAGAAGTTGAATGTATTTCTAATCGTTGGTATCATGATATACTGTCAAAACGACGTAAATAAGTTTATTTTTATTTAAAAATTGTATTTTCTTTTGTGATAACAATAAATAATCAACATTTTATAATAACAAGGCTTAAACATACAATTTTAACATCTTTGATACAAATTTAAAAATAAAATTTATACGATGAAAAGTTTTGTTAAAACCGAAAAATTTATCAAAACATCAAATGGCAAAAAATTTTTTTACAGAGCGAAAAATGGCAATGAATGTCTTTAAAAAAAAAAATTTTTTTAACTGTTCAAAAATTTTGCTTTTTTTAAAACAAAAAATGACAATATAACCAAAAAATCTATATCTATTATAACACTAGTAACTTTCAACAAAACTATTCCTTTTTCAATATATTGGTGAGCATAAGAGATCAAGAATGAAGATCAAAGAAGATATCCGGTTGACTCACCTTTTGTTACAATAAGATTATAAATATAGCGGAACTTCGGTATGATAAGCACCTTCCAAAGAAAGTACAGTGGAATTCCTGTATAACGAAACGCTCGGGGACTTGAAACTTGTTTGTTAGTAAACGGCGATTTAAAAGTTGTTTGTTATACATTTTCGTTATAGAGGAGTTTGTTATACAAGAGTTCCACTGTACTCAACTTCTTAGACAGAGTTGACATTGAGTATCAAACTCTTTTTCTTTAGAAAATTACAGTACACTTCAACCTAAAACACTTTTAATCTCAATTTATGACTTTACGTTAAGCTGTTGCTACATAAAATAGTCATAAAACCTAGAGACAATCAAATTAGGTTCGAATATCGTTATCGACGCAAATTAATGGCTCATAAAATTGTTCACACGTTAAATTTTTGGTAAAAGTTATCAGTTCAACGCGATGTTCAGTCGCCTTTTGTTATTTTTTTTGCTTTTTGAATTGACAGCCGGCTGGTCGGTTAGGCAAATCCAGTGGGAGATCGATTTGTCGCATTTGGATTTAGGGGATAACGCTTTTGAAAATTCAAATTTTGATTTGAATTTGGCTTCAGAAGCTGAGCGTCATGATTTTTTTGAAGTACGAAAGGATTCTGAATTATATCGTGGTAAACTTCAAAAGTTTAAAGCTAGTAACGATAAGACTGAGCTATTGAGGTACAGTACTACTGACTTCAGTACCAACTCAAGCTACAGTATTAATTCAAGGTACAGTACTAATTTTAAGCATAATACTAAGGTTAACTACAGTACAATCTCAAACCATAGTACTACTTTTAGCTATAGTACTGGCTCAAACTACGGTACTGCTACTAACTACAGTACTAGCCTTAATGGCAGTACCAAGTCAAACTACAGTACTACGTCTAAATACAGTACTAACTTAAACTACAGTACCACTCTAAGCGACAGTACGTATCATATTCAAAAAGTCATTACCAATTACAGTACGCTGCTACTCTCTTCACTTAAAGCTAACTACAACGCCCAATTTACGAACAGCCTCAACCTTACCATCAAATGCACATCGTATATCTGTGAGAAAGAATTCCTCTTCCACGCTAATAACCTGAAGCCAATAAAAGTTAACATGCGGAGAAAATGGTACAGTAAATCTGATTTCAGCTTCAGTAAAAGCAAATCCATTTGGAACATTACATTTGATAGTAACGTTGAGAAAGACGATGAATTTATAATTGAATTTGTTTACAATGCTACGGTATGTTATAATGAAGAAGAATATTGTGGTATGAAGCTGGTTGAATATGATATTGAAACGTTTAATGAGTATAACAAGAAGATAGTACGGTAAGTATTTTAGTGAGATAGGGAAGGGTAGATTAGGGTAAGGTGTTAAAACTATTTGTTTCAGTCACTATCTTGTCACAAATACTACGACCTTATCATCAGTGTCTTCTTTGTTACCAGTATATACTGAGATACAAGATTATGACCTAGAATTATCAATCACGACAAAGTATGATATCATAACTAACGGAGAAGAAAACTATAAAAAGGGGTAAGTAAATTGGAAATTATTGAAATTTATATACATATAAAGTATCATACTCAAAAGTTCACAATATTGATTATATAAAACTATGCAAAACAGCATGGCTCATTACTTTTTGAACATATTTTGAACCTTATCACATGGTAAAACGTATTACTTTAGTAATAACCACGAGTATCATCCAATACATCTCAACAGTATTAATGACATTTTCATTTTAATTGGCAATTACGTTTCGTATAATTCATACACACGGAATAACATCATGGTAGGATTGTTTAGCTAGTTTGAAACTTTTTTTTTTACTTTTATTTTTTACTCTCCTCACCCTTCCTTTTTATACACAAAAGTCATCTGCCTTTACTGTAATTATTTTCTAAGTTTGCTACAACTTTGAAAAAGTCGTGTTAAGGTAGTTACTTTTAAGGTAAATTGCAATGTGTTATCAGAACTTGCAAATGAAAAAGATACAACATGTGACATTGTCAATACAGTTATGACAGTTATTGAAGATCAGTTGGAGAAAATGGATTACAACATATGTAAGCATTATCTATGTTCTCATACATCCTTTCCCTATCACTATTTTAACTCTAGCTTTGGGTTCTTTATAGCCTTATTCTAGCTCTAATCATATTGCTACCCTAGCCCTACTCTTAGCCCGGTCTAAACCTACCTTTAACTCTTCCGTAGCCTTACTTTTAACGTTACAATGTTTTTACTTTAGCCCCAGTTTTAGTCCTACTTTTGCCTTACTTCAGCTTTACCACAATCCTACTCTCGCTCTGCCCGTGTTCTACCATAGCATTACTTTTGTCCTACCATAGTTCTACTCTTTTCTTATCGTTGTCTACTTTTAGCTTTGCCATAGACCTACTTTTAGTTTTACTTTAAACATACATACTTTTAGCCCTACCGCTGCTCTGTTTTTAGTCCTGCCCTTGTCCAAATTTTAGCTCTATCGTTGCCCTGCTGTAGACCTTACTTTGTTTTAACTCTTGTCTTACTTTTAGGCCTTTGCTTCTTCTCTTAAAACCTTATCTTTTTTAATCTTGTTATTTTTCTTACCTTACATGTTAGGCTTACTTTGTATTAGTTTTGACATTTTTTTAAATTTTGTTATATTTTAGCCATAGTTCGTTTACCAAACACAGAAACATCAATATGGTTTGGTAATATACTGACGCTGCCTTATTACACCACCACAACTAGTAAACTTGATAATATAGAAATATTATGGCAAAAACAAATAGAAATTACAGCCGCCGTTTTAAAATACTATTTTGGTAACAAAGTGAAAGGTTTTGATGAACAAACTAGATATTTGAATCAAGGAGTTGCTAGGTATATGGCAGTCAAAATGTTACAACAGACAATGGACTCTAAAGAGGAGATGGAGCTATTAGTAAGGTTTAAAATTTATTATAACAATCTTCTCAGTCGCATACAATAAGGCTAGGGTATAGTTAAGGCTAGAGTAGAACATGTAAAAAGCCAGAATAAAACTTGGCTAAAACTAGGATAGGGCATAGATAAGGGTGGGGAGCTACGTTAGAGCTAAAGTAAGCCTTTTAAATAATCCGTAAATTTCAGAACGACATAAGTCAAGAAAACATCAAAAACACTGTTTCAAATAAGATAATGGCATTATTATTTATGTTAGAAGAAGTTTACAGCAAGGAAATTCTTCTAAAAGCTATAATTACCTATTACAATGATAACAAAGGAAAGACCATTTACAGCGAAAAACTAGGCATGGCTTTTGAAAACGTACGTTTAAATTACATACACCTAGAGTCGAAAGAGGGGACTACCTTTTAAAAATGTCTTTTATATTCTGTAATCCATTATCTTAAAGATTAATTTAACATAGCCAATTCTTTGATGGTATATACAGCACTTTACAGGCCTTTAGCTACCAGTCAGTATGCCGCGATCGTTTGTCAATCTCTGACGTCATTTATTCGTGGTTAACAAACTTGAATGTAGACACAAATGTCTATATCAACGAGAACTTTACTGTCTCACAAAGTTCAAATAGCTACAGCGATCAAAAAAACATACCATTGATGTATCTGAAAAATGGTGGTAAAGACGTATTTTACCTTAAGAAATGTAAGTTATCATCACTGAAAGTTAGTATATTTTACCATAGTCCTATCCTTGATCTACCATAGCTCTATCTTTAATCTACGACAAAAGTTACCATTGTTTTACTATAGCCCCCGTCCCATCCTACTCTTAACATAGACATATTTGAAAAAAAAATTTGGTTTTTTTAGACAACAATATGTGTACACCTACAACAACTCTATTTTCAACTAAAAATACAGAAATTTTCAATCCATTTGACAACCTATACAATCTAACATATCACCCTTCAGTTATTGATTACTACATAACAACTGGCTTTGGAAAATGGTCAAACAAAATGGCCACGGCATTCTTAAAATCTCTCATGTATCAACATGATCAAGAACTTTACTGTGGTCATTTTAAAAACAAGAAAAACTACAGTAACTTTAAAGAAAATGATGTATACAAAAGTTACAGTAACACTAGCAAACTATTAGAAGAAGTAGCTACAGGAATTATAAACTCAAGACCAGCAGAAACGTCAGTAATGCTGACGAAGACATTACAAACGATGTATTACTCTCGGTCAAGTAGCAGTAATAAGTTTAAAGTGAGTAATGAGTAATTAACAACATGGTTATTTAGAATGTTTTTAGAAACTACATCTACGGTCAAGTTCAAATGTTAAGTGAGAAGGACAAAGATTGGTCAGTGAGTCATAAGTAAGTTTTGGAATCTTGCACAGTTAAATTCTTGTATAACAAATAGTTCAATGATTTAAAATTGGTTTTTTATAAACAAGCTTTGGTGTTTTTGTTACAGAGGAGTTCGTTATATAGAGGTCTCACAATATAAAGCAAAGAATAGAGAAGAATACACGGTAAGGTGTGTAATAAGATCAGGTTATAAAACATAGGTTAAACAAAGTTAAATTTAAAGCAAGGTGATATCTTTAAAGTAAAATATTATGTTTTAGATACATCAAATCCTTGATTAACAACGAAGCTATCAAACAGAAAATCAACGAAGTTAAAAAGAGGGTTTCAATTAGTACTAAAAGTCTAATATCAGCGTTAAACATCAAAAATGATACCCTAATATTTGACAACTTCATGAATACGCAAGTTTTTCCGTTTTTTACTATTAAATATTATTAAAAATCTTGTTAACTTACAACTATTTAGAACAAAAGCCAATTTTCAACTGAAAGCGTAAAATTATGAATTATATTTTGAAACATGTTATTTTAAAAAAGTATAAAAAAGATCAAAGCATTCTTCCGGCTTGTTTTTAAGCTATAGGCTTTGGCAAAAAAAACGAAGATTTTTCTTCAATCCGTCAATTTTTAAAAAGCTTTTGTTAGTTGTAAAAGATTCAAAATAATAATTTTACTTTTATACATATAACCCTTGCTGTATATACTTTTCATTCGTAGTTCAGACGAAAACCTTGAATTTTTGTACACGAAAAATCTCTCATAATTTTGCGCGTTCTCTAGTTTTTCTCTAATGCCGACGGCAATCAGATATAAAGAGGGAACATACAAAATTATGAGAGCTTTTTTCGTGGACAAGAGTTCAAGGTTTTCGTCTGAACTACGAATGAAAAGTATATACATCAAGGGTTATATTACGTTCATTATTTTTGTGGTTTTTTAAAACCCGGTTTATTAAATGTATTTTCAGGTTAGATCACGATAACTTGAACTCACAAGTCTGTGTGTCTGTCAGCAACTTGAACTACCAAAACTACAATTACTGGAAGAAGTTGCTACAGATTCTTCATCAAAAATCACTAAAAGTTCTATATGAATCTACGATAAAGAGCATTGAAAATGGTCTTCAATGCTTATGGATCTTTTAAAAATGTGTTACTTCTAAGTCTGAGTAAAAAATAATTTATTATACTCGTAGTGTTCAAGATACTATATACAATAAAATAAATAAAAGATAACATAATATAAATACACATATCAATCAAAAGCAGAGTCGTTCGGACATTAACATAGTACTACTACTACTAAAAACCCATACTCTTTTACATTACTATTACGGTAAAAACAACCAGTTGACAATAGTAGCCATCATGGTCAAAAAGACACTCTGAATCTTGTACCCAAAGCTCGACCCTGTGCTACTACTATAGTCATCATCATCAGTAGTATTCAAGTTTAACATAGGACAACCAGCCTTGCCATACCGAGCAATATGAACATTGAAGTAGTAGCTATGATCTTCTACATTGTTACGATCTTCTGAATAACATTCTGGATCAGTTAGAGTCTTACACAGAACGTACGATGAGTTTTCTGTCATGTCATTGTCATACCAAACTTCCGTCGGAAAGTGACGGTAATCAAACCGACGTGGGAAGAGTACTGTAACTATGTCTTTAGCGTGTGCTACTCGGTAGAAGTTGGGTACCAGTTGGTGAAAGTAGTCCGCAGATTCTTTATCACCTACCCTGGGCTGGCTAAAATTAAATATAAACGTCTTTTTTTACCCCTACCCTACCCTACCCTACCCTACCCTACCCTACCCTACCCTACCCTACCCTACCCTACCCTCTACCCTACCCTTCCGTACCCTACCCTACCCTACCCTACCCTACCCTACCCTACCCTACCGTACCCTTCCGTACCCTACCCTACCCTACCCTACCCTACCCTTCCGTACCCTACCCTACCCTACCCTACCCTACCCTACCCTACCCTACCCTACCCTACCCTACCCTACCCTACCCTACCCTACCCTACCCTACCCTACCCTACCCTACCCTACCCTACCCTACCCTGCCCTACCCTACCCTACCCTACCCTACTCTATGAATTACCTACCCAAAGCTGTAGTTTTCAGTCTGACTTAGCTTGACAGTGCCATTGTAGATCATATAAACAGATGTCAGCGATGCCAAGGCTCCACCCAATGAATGCCCGGTAATCCAAATATTGTAGTCCGGGTATTTTTTCAGTGATTCGATTACTCCGGCTTCCATTTCATCCCAGATCGCTTGATACGCACGGTAAAAGTACTGATTAATTTTACCTTTACCATCCAGAAAGTGCACTTTATGCCTAGCAAGGCTTAAAGCTTGTGATAAAAGTTGAAATGCACTTGTTGATCCACTGAAAATAGAAATCTAAAGCAGGTTAGCTTAGTGCCACGACCCGATGCCCTAACTCAAAGCCCTAGGCCAAACCCCTAGGCCAAAGCCCTAGGCCAAAGCCCTAGGCCAAAGCCCTAGCCCAGAGCCCTAGCTCAAAGCTCTAGCTCACGGAACGGGCCAGACCTGTTTTTCAATCTTGGCTTGGTCTAAGCTCTGGCTCAAGTTTTTTTTATGCAAACGGTCCGAACGTTTTGAGTCGGGCCAAGATTTGCTTTTCAAGGCTGGCTCAACCGATATTTGGGTTAAAGTTGGTAGTCCCGGCCTATTCGTCATGTTTAGGCCAAACACAAAGCCCTACTTTAGAACCCTAGCGCCAGCCGTATTACTATTTGTTTTACTTACCGATATCCGATTGCTATAGCTTTCTTCGTATGTAATAAAGCAACATAAGCATAACAATCATGATCAAATATCCTGCCGCAATCTACTGTGACTTCATTGACCATCTAAATAAATGCTTTTAAATAATAGCTATCTTTTAAAAAACATTTTGTTTTTATTTTAAATTTTAAATTTTTTTTAGTTTTATATATATTGGAAAACAAAAGACAAAAAAAACGTATTTTACCTACCTCTACCACGTCAAAATGACTTTTCAAGCATAGCTCTGGTTGTTTTGAATAAGCTGCAGCTGACAGTACTAATAACTTTTTTGCCATTTTTTCATTATAACCACTGTCTTTACAATGTACAAATGTTAAAGTAAATATTAGTAGAATAAAATAATTAATCATCCTTTATAAGCACACTTTAGTGCCAAACCATGTACAAGTAGTACACTACACGTAGACTGCCAGTAGTACACTACACGTAGGTTGCCAGTAGTACGCTGGTAGTGCTCGTAATACTATTGACAAGTTAAAAAGTATAAAATCAGTTAGAACTGCCACAAATATTAACCTTAAAGAGTAACAGTTTGTATACAAGATTATATGACTCATACTCGTGTTAACTCACGTTATCAGTAAAAAACGATAAAAACAAGAATTTTTGCAGTTTTTAAGGTTACTTTTAAAAAACACGGTAAAACTTGCTTCACGTAAAAATATTCTGAAATTTTTTTTTCTTTTTCAAAAAAGGAAACGTTTTCTATTATAATAATGATCACTGCATGAAGTCGAGGCGTAAGCAAAACGATTTTGTTATTTATAAATAGTGTGAGCCATTCCTGTTAGCACTAAAGCCAAAATGAGCCAAATTATGTCCGGTCCAGCCACGGTCCCGCCTCGGCCTTGAACCAAAGCAAATTTAAAAAGAACCGGGCCGGACCGTGCAAGCCTGAAAGTTGAAATAAAAAAACTAAGATCCAAGAGACCCACTAGGCCTGACCAGTCCGACTGAAGCAAGCTTGAAAAAGGTTAAGCCAAGCTATAGATTAAACCAAGGTTCAGCTAAATTGTTTAGCCCAGCCTCTTTACAAGTCAAAAACTCTTGTTATATATAGTAGCACTTCAAGCTTACAGTTACTCGCTTTAAAAATTATAATAAGATTCATTTTTTTTGAAATTCAAAGACAAGTTTTGTGATTCATGATTTACAAATTTCATTGTTTATTTGAAGCTGTAACATATGATGAATAACTGACCTTTATCACAAAACAAAATTTTTGATAGAACAACACACAAATTTAAGACAAAATGTAAAAGAATCCTTGTCAAAATACATTCGTAAAATAAATTTTTAATTTTAAAATTTTACAATTTTAAAAAAATCGACCGGTCAATAATTTTTTTTTCAAAACGAAAAATTTTCATCTCAAAATTTTCTTATAGACTATAAAATTAAAAAATAAAACTTCAAAACAAGCGCGCTTAAGCGAAGTCTAAGCCTTCTAAAGAAAAAAACATAAATCATACATATTTTAAATCAAAATTCGCAAATTTCAAACAACAAGGTCGACTGAATCATCAAAAAATCAATGCCATTTCACATTCAAAATCATAATCCCCATGCAAACACTCATCCAATGCACACGCCAAAGTAAGCCGTATCATCAACCACATAATCGCCTTCCTTTATGATATTGTCAATGTCAACAAAGTTGTCCGTTCCCAGCCAACCGTTCGGCTTCTCAGCTGATGGTCGGCCAACATAAGTGTCATCCACAACTTCGTTAGCCGGATTCAGTTCGAAACGATAGTCCATCCGATTAGTCGCTACTTCATTTCGATCATACAGAATTAGGGTTATGGTCTCTTGGAAGGGCCATTTCAATATAGGGTCGTAGGGGCCGGGAATCAGTTGGACATAGAAACTCACAAATTTACCTTCGGCTGAAAAAAAAATTTTACAATTGTAATCATAAATTTAACCTATTGGGGCTTAGGTTTAGAAGAATTAAATTAAAAAAGTTAGGCTTAGAAAACTTAAGCTCACAAAATTTAGACATTAAAGGCTTAGACTTACAAAGTTACAGCTTAGACCTCATAAACCTTGAAGGATTAGGTTTAGGAAGCTTAGTTTTAGAAGACTCACACAACTTAAGTTTAAAAGGCTTGAGCTTAGAAAACTTTCAGAAGGCTTAGGTTTAGAAGCATTAAGCTCAGAAGGCTTAGGCTGAAAACGTTAAACCTTAGAAAACTTAGAGTTAAAAGGTTTAGGCTTAAAAGGCTTAGGCTTAGAAGGCTTAAGCTTAGAAGGTTTAGGCCTAAAAGGCTTAGGCTTAGAAGGCTTAAGCTTAGATGGTTTAGGCTTAGAAAGCTTAGGCTTAGAAAACTTAGGCATAGAACACTTTAAACCCAAAAAAAGTTTAGGTTTGAAAATATTAGTTTAGGCTTAAAAATGAGTCTTGAGTTTAAAAATAAGTTTTAGGTATAATAATCAATTTTAGTCTTAAAATGCAATAAAAATCAAGTGCAACTTACCATGATCCCTCCCATAAAGCATCAAAATAGCTCTCATATTGTACCCAAAGCATTCGCTCTTAAAGATCTCAGAAACCAAGACTTCTCCACTTTTATCCTTTGCTTTTGCCAGAACTTCTTTCATGTTGTAGATTGGCCAGACCAGCTGAACACTTTCACGACACAAAATACTATTGGTCGATATCTTCTGAGCTGTGTACATTTTACTGATTTTGTCATCATCGTCGAGAACTTTATTTATGAGACGAAAACGGTCGATAACAGAGTCGTTTAGGCTTGTCAGGTGTTTTACTGGCCGCTTGGATTCGTGGTCGTTGCCCTAGAGAAAGTAAATTTAAAGCAAAGTGCAAATATTATCTCTAAGCCTAAGTCTTGTAAGCCTAAACCTTCTCAGCCTAAGCCTTCTAAGCCTAAGCTTTCTAAGCCTAAGTCTTCTAAGCCTAAACCTTCTCAGCCTAAGTCTTCTAAGCCTAAACCTCCTCAGCCTAAGCCTTCTAAGCCTAATCTTTCTAAGCTTAAGCCTTCTAAGCCTTAGTTTTCTAAGCCTAAGGTATTTAAGTTAAAGCTTTCTAAGCCTATGGTTACTAAGCTAAAACTTTCTGCCGCTTGCTCAGCCTAAAAGTTATTGGTTTCTTAGCCTAAGGGCCTACGTCTGCTAAGCCAAATTTCTTTGCCTGCTAAGCCTAAACTTTTACATCTGGTACGCCTAAACAAATTTGCCTGTTGAGCCTAAAAGTTTTGGCCTGTTTAGTCTAAACTTCTATACTTGCTAAGCCTAAACATTATTAAGCCTAAACACTTTATAGAACATATAGTACCAGAAAGCGTTTTCCTACCTCTAAATCGCATCCAAACAAGTAAAAACGGCATTTAGTTTTGTCAATAACCAATTCGTGTTCTTCGTTATCTCTATTCTTCTTCAATCCAGTATGAGCTTCAATTTTCTTGCCATCATTAACACGATCTCTTAGCTTCTGCATTTTACCATCACCTTCTTTTGATGGTTGTTCTTTACCGTTATTGTCAGTTGCAGCATCATCAGCTACGGGTTTAGCAGCTTCTGTTGATTCACTTTTAGAGTTTCTATTTTCATTCTTCTTGTCTGTCCCTTCATCTGCATCTACAAGAATATGACAATAAAACAACAATTTTAAAAGTTTTTTTAAATTTTAAAAAAGAAATTCTTACCTTTTTTTCTTCCGGCACTTTTAGTAGTTTTAGTTTTTTCATTATTGCCATTTTCAGCAGAGTCACCATTGCTCTGTTTAGTTTTAGGTCGGTTACTGCTTGAAGTTTTAGTACGTTCTTCACTAGCTTCATTATTAGAAGCCGTCTTCCCTCTAGATTGAGCAGTAGTAGGCTCAATCATTGTAAAGTTAAAAATTATAAAATTGAAAAAAAAATTTTTTTAAATTTAAAAATCGTTATTAAAAAAACAAAAAGAAGCACTGCGTATTATACTTTTTATAACATACGTATATTGCTCTTGGTTACAATATCATAGCAACAAGACTGTTTTGTATAAAACTTAAAATATTGTTCTGTTTTTTGATGTGGCGAAAAAAAAGAAATTTATTTAATACACGCCAAATTCAAAAAAAACTCATCGTACTTTAAACAAAGACCAGTTTTGAAAGTATTTTATCTTAGGTAGACATGAGGAACGGGCCGGTCCTGATTGTTAGGCTCAGTCCAATCAAAATTTTGTTTAGGCCCGGCCCGACTTAAATTTAGGTCAAGACCGGCTTGGTCCGTTCTTCATGTCTAATCTTAGGTAAACTAGTTTTATCTTGGATAGTACAATATACACAGTAGAACTCCTGTATAACGAATCGCTCGAGGACTTCAAACGTGTGCGTTATAAAAAAGTTTCGTTATGCATAAGTTGCGCTGTACCTCAATCCTAACCCAATTCTAGCCAAAGCTTGGCTCATGATTTGCCTACGCCCAACCAAAAGCTAACTCAATAACGGCCCACGCCTAGCTCAAGCATAGCCTAAACCTATCTTAAGTCTTGCGCAATTTTAGCTCATATCTAGCCCAGTTTTAATCAAAGCCTTGTCCATGCCTAGCCCAAGCGAATTCCAAGAATACCTCAGCCTAGCTCAATCCCAGACAAAGCCAAGCCTTTCGTATTTCTAATATTACTTTACATACACTAGCTTTACTCTAGCCAAACTTAATTTCGCTTTTGCACTATTATAGTTTTACTCTGATTTTAAGCTAGCCCTATATTAGCCTCGTCATAGCTTAAAATATCAAAAGTAATCGGTTTTTAAATTTAAATATTTATTTTTTTAGAAATAAAAATTTATATTAAAAATTTTTAAAATAAAGTATCAAAACATTATATTCAATACAAAGATAAGTTTTAAAAATATAGCATAAAATTAAAATTTAATCATCAATCAAAGTGACACACGGAAAGTTATACCAGTAAGTTTTTGCAGTTAACTAGACAGTTTACATCTGATTTTTAAGAAACAAAAAATATTATGTTGTTCAAATATTTCTGTGCCACTCTCAAAACAAACGTTTTGGGACTAAAGGCACAGAATTATGTGAACAACCTAATATCAAAAAAATATTAGCCTAAAGACAAAAAAATGAGCTTTTCTTATCAAAATTTCACGTTTTCGGAATAAGTTCTTGTTCAAGATCATTCAGTAATTTGACCGTATTTTCATTACACGTAGGTTGAGCTTGTAGATACTTGCATAGCGTACCAAAAGCACCAATTGCTTCAATTAAACTTGGTATTTCTGTCATGTTTTCTTCAAAGATTTGTAGTAGAGGTGAGTCTTTCAGGTTCATGGTAGATATTGACTCTACTTTACCTTGTTTTTTAGTAGTTTTGGTTGATTTATCGGTTGTTTTGTTGCTTTTTCGGTCATTTTTGTGGCTTTTTTGGGTTGCTTTTGAGCCTTCTTTGTTGATAGTTGAGTTTAGTAGACTTAGGGCGGGGTAATCTGTAGCAATTTTGTGAATAAGGGGTGTTTCTTCTAAACTTATGATAGCTGGATGACCTTTTTCTAGCAAACTTTTATCGTCAAAGTCGATCTTATCAGCTGTAGCCTCTAGTATAAGCTTTTCCAAAATATCTTGAGGTTTAGCATCTTCTTTCAAGTCACTTAGCCATTTGGAAACCGCCATTTCATCAGCATCAACATCAATATTATCAGTACAGCTCTCACTGTCATTGAGATCAAACTTTGTTCCGTTTAAGTAACTCTCATCGCCACTATGACCAAATTTACTGTCATTTCTAGGCCGACCAACTTTCTTGACTTTAGGTATGATGTCAGGCTTCTTAGCTAGTTCAGGATCAAGTTGTCGTTCGCCGTTGGTTTTGAAAAAGACTCGAAATCGACATTTAAAGCGTTGTAGCCAGCCGTTCGAAGCTTGGAATTCAACATTTAAGGCTTTTGAGATTTCTGTGGCTTTGTCCTAAAATTGGCGAGTTTAGTCTTAAGTACTCTGTTGGTTTAAGACTGTATAAAGTGCTATATAAGTCCAACAATTTGTTAAGTAATATGTAAGTCCAATAATGTTTTAAGTATGGGTAGGATTGAGTAGGGTCGGGCTGGGGCGGCTAAGTTCAGGGCGACTTAGTTTTAAGTACTATATAGAGCTAAAGGCGCCTTAGGTACTATACAGGTTCTAAAAATGTCGTTTGCCTTATGAAGGTCAAAAATTACATAGAATAACGAAAATTGTTTTAATGTTGATTTATTACGGTTATATTACAGTGTAAGCCTCATAGCGTGTCAAACTTGTTGCATGTAATATCTATGGCTAATCTTTCTCTTTACTCTAATCTTCACACAACTTGGTGTAATGTTATACTTAGTCGCTATTAATAAAAAATCTTGCATTTCTAATCAGTGTAAAGTCTAAAAGTTAAACTTGTTGCATTTTAAGCTGTTCTACTGTATAATATTACTACTATACTTAAGTTCAACCAATTTACTATAGGGCAGACAGTGCAAGAGTAGAGAAGGGTCACTTGGAGTCTAGTGGGGGCAGATGAGATTAGGTAGAATCAGGTGGGGTGGGGTCAAGTAAAGTCATGTAGGGTAGGGTAGGGTAGGGTAGAGTAGGGTAGGGTAGGGTAGGGTAGGGTAGGGTAGGGTAGGGTAGGGTAGGGTAGGGTAGGGTAGGGTAGGGTAGGGTAGGGTAGGGTAGGGTAGGGTAGGGTAGGGTAGGGTAGGGTAGGGTAGGGTAGGGCAGAGTAGGGTAGAGTGGGGTAAAGTAGGGTGGGGTAGTGTTTTTTTTTATAAAACTACAGTACACTTACCTGTATTGTCAGTCCAGGAAACTGTGCCTCTGGGTCTTTTTCCCTCTCTTCTTTGATCCAGTCCAACACTGCTGCTTCAACTTCTGGGTACTTCCCCCTCCTTAGCTTCGAGCTCTTCCCTTGTCGACCCATACTCCATGCTTGTTCGACTAATTTTCTTTGATTTACCACTGACGAAATGGTTGATTTAGTCAACCCAAACTTCATAGACAACTCTTTCAATGGCACTTTGGCATCGTGTAGTTCAATGATGGCTTTCTTAGCTTCCAGGCTAATCCTTTGACGTCGTTTTATGTGTCGACTGTCATCTTTAGTTGATTGAGCATTTAGGTTTGAGTCAAGTTTGGCCAAGTTTATTAGAGATGAAAGATCTAGGCTCATTGATGGAGAAGCAGATACTTCTTCCAGAGAATCTTGGGTTTCTAGAAGAGTGTCATCTTCACTTGACTCCATCTGTAACACATCATATAGATGTTTTTTATTTTTTGCACTATTAAAGCATTTTCAAATACGGTAAGAATAAAGTAATAAAAAGTTAGGTGTAAACTACCGTTAAAACAAGGATAGAGCATAGTCAGAGTGAGACTACAGAAAACAAGGGTAGAACTAGGCTTGGCTAGTTTAGAAATGGAAAGAATAAGTACTGATGTTAGACAAGGCTCAGCTTACGCTAAGCTCAGAGAAGGCTTCAGCGAAGCATAAGATAGTCGCTAGGAATGAGCAAAGTTTGGGCTAGTTTTGGCCTACACTTGAGCTAGGCTTGGACCAAGTTAGAGCGAGGCATTGACAAGACACGCATTAGGATTAGGTCAGGTATTACACAAAGCAGCAAAAGATTGCCTTAGGCAAAATTTAGACTAAAGTAAGACAGTAAGACAATATAAGGTTACGATTGGCCCACACTAAGTAAGAATATGCCAGCAGTATAAAAATACTAAATTCAAAAATAAAAAATTATAAATTACATAATAAAACTTAATTAAAACCTATTAAACTTTAGGACAAAAAGGCCAGGTGAAACTGCTCTAATCTTAACTCTAAGCTAACATTTGTGCGTTTTTAAGTTAAACAATTTTCAAGTGTAATATGTCGTTTCACATAACAAAATGTCAAGTTACACACGGATATATATGGCATTTTTGTTGCATGTTTGTGACATAAGATATTACTGTAATACTACAAATTTTAAAATGTGATAGCTAGGGTTCTAAGCTAGAACTCTCGGTTAGTAGCAAAAGGTAGAGCTAGAACTAGAGCTATAGTAAAGGCAAGAAGAACATCTAGAGCAAGAGCTAAAGCCAAAGATAGAACTAGAGCTAGAGCTAAAGTTAGAGCTAGAGCTAGAACTAGAGCTAGAGTTAGGAATAAGTCAAACTAAAAAATTTTTCAAATTAAAAACAACTTTTATTTTTATTTTAAAAATATAAAAATTTTAAAACTTTACCCCGCCCTACCACCTTTCTTCTACAAAAAATCCTTAAACCCCTCTAAAAGCCCATTTGCTTTATAAACATGTAACGATATTTGACAAAACATATAAAGATTGGAAGCCCGCGAGTAACGACCCTTTTTCAGCTTTCCTCTTTTAAAAGAGGGGGGGGGGACAAGAAAAAAATGGTTGTTATAACGAGGTGGTGGCTGTCTCGCTCTCCCACTTACTTCGCCTCGCCGCACCGTTATAATAGGCAGACGCACCGTGAGCCGGGTGTGTTGTTATAAGCGCACGATTTTATTGCGTCAAAGTAAAAAAGAACATGTATATGTTATTGGGAGTGTTTAGCGCTCCATGTTAACCCGGTTTTGTTTTTTTTTAATGTAAGGAGAAAAAGTCGTACAATTTGGTGGATGTGAATGAAAATTGTAGTAGGAAGGAAGGAGTAGAGAACAAGTATATTGAAAAAATAAAAAAAAATTTTTTTTTAATTAAAAATTACAAAAGAATTAAACGAATTCAAAACCCAGGACAACTAGTATAAAGTATAAGATAAGCTACAATAAGGCTAGAATGGTGCTGAGTAGAGTTAAAAAAGATTAGAGCAAGGTCATCGTAAGTCTAGTTACGGCTAGAAAAAAATTACAGTAGAGTTTCATTAGGCCTACAAAAAAGAAAGAATAATGCCGTTTTTAACGTAGATACCAATACAGAGAATGTGTTAGGGCTACGGTCAGACAAGTGACAGGTTTAAGTAAATGAGGCTAAGGTATGACTAGGGTACACCTAGAGAAAATGTAAGACATAACTAGGATAAAAACTTACGAGTAGTGGTACGGTAGGGCCAGGGACCGATAAGAAGTATGATATTGCAAAAATGTAAAAAATTGCGAATAGAGCTGAGGTATGGCTAAGGTACTGTTAGAGACACATTGGCAATGCTAATAAAGGCTGAGAGCAGCGCTACGGTAGAGTACGGTAGAAGTAAATTGAGGTAAAGGAAAGTAAGTCTTTGACTAGGTAGGATAGGGTATGAGCAATAATGTAGACTGTAGGTTATAATAAGGAAGATCCTTAGCTGTTATTGCCAATGCTTTATATAGCAAAAAAAAATTCTTTGTAAAGCTCTTGTCTTATGCAGAGCAAACAATACATTATATACTGTTCAAACTGCAATACGGTACACTGACATGTACTATCAAAATTCTTAAGGCACAAGGCACACTACAATTACTACATCTTAAAAATAAAAAGTGGAAATTGCGTTGCAAGTATAGTATGATCTCAAGTATATAGTCATAATCTTCTTTATATAACTTTTCTTTACCTAATCTTCTTTCAAAAATAACTGTTATAAGCAATAAGATTACTTGAACTTTAGTACCGTGCAGTAAGATAGATTACCTAAACCTTAGAAGGCAAAGTAAGATTATATGAATGTTACTTTTCTTACTTTTAAAAACGGCTAATCTTATAGCATATAGAAAGCAATAACAGATATAAAAATGACGGTAAGATTGATTGATTGAACTTTTACTAATAGTTTTCATATTATTACGGTATATAGACTTTCGAATTTAATGCCTATTGTACTAGAATTTCACAAAGTTAAAGACTATGGTACTACCGACTTACAAAGTCCAGGAGTATAGTACTGTAACAACAAAAATATAGTTGTTATAATAGATCTATTTTGTTATAAAAATTAGGTTATTCTACCTTATTCACAAGTTATCTCAACAATAGCTTATGAATTATAACGTTACTCCAAACTTATTGTTATGTCGTAAAGACAGTGTTAGTCACTCAAAACAACCACAACATAACACTATAAATACGAAAAAATTTTGCAACATAAAGTATAGGTATATCAATACCTTATTTTTATTCATTTATTGTTTGTTTTTGAATATTAAGCCTAAAAAATTAAACTTTCAAAATAATGACAAAATTGATTACGTTAGGTTCTGTATTGCTCGTACTATTTGTAGTAGAAACGACGTCAACAAGATTAAATTGCAATTCATATCAAGATGGTGAGTTTAATTTTACATGTCTTTGATAATTTTACGGTATTCTATAAACAAAGTAGAATTTGGTTTAAGCTAAATCTGTAAGAAGGCCGGGTTGAGTTCAGTTTTTCGTCCTAGCCCACAAGTCGAGTCCTAATTTTACCCTGTTAGTTTTACGTTAAGTAACGCTATTCTTATCATTGTAAAAATAATAAGAAAAATGATTTTGCTTCAATATTTTCTTATTTTAGGCCGCCCTCTTACTTGGACTGGTTTCGAAACCTGTGCTGAAGATGTATCGTATTGTTTGAAAAGTGTGAACAAAGGAAGTCATCGCACTTTACAGTAAGATTTATATTTACTTCTTCTTCATTTTATTTCGTATTTTATCAAAAATTTTTTAACTTTTGTTACCTAGTTAAAGACTATAGTAATACAGATTTACCTAATGCTACAGGATTACATATTACTATACTTTTCAGTTCATGTGACCGCAAACATGTGTGTAAGGCTGGAGACACTAGCGTATCTGACAGCAACTACGATTACTACTGTTGCAGTGAAGAAAAATGCAACTCAGCTACAACTATTGGTGTTGGTGTAGCAACTTTAACATTGATGGGTCTGAAAGCATTAGTTCTCTAACCTTCAAGCAATATATAATATGTTTATTTTAAATATTTTGAAAAATAAACTTATAAATACTTTTGTTCTTGGATATTGCTTTTGACACAGTCAGACTAGAGGTTAGTTTAAATTATACTAAAGTAACGCTAGAGTAGATCCACTTAAAGCAAGAGTAAGACTATGGTAGAAACAGGGTACGGCTAGAATATAAAGGTTTGGGCTAGTGATGGATCAGGATAAGGCTAAAGTAGGACTAAGATAACGCCAGGTTAGTTTCCGAGTAGAGCTGGAGTAGGACCTGGATAAGGCCAGAGTAACCTCAAGGTAGCGCCATAGTAGGATTAGTGTAGGGCCAATGTAGAGACAGGGTCTAAGGTTTAAAGAGTAAGGTAGGGTAGGGTAGGGTAGGATAGGGTAGGGTATTCAATAACTCATAATAATTACGTAACATTTATGAATAATATAGAATTCATTTTGTGAGTAATCCTTAACAACGATCAAGCTGAATAGGAAAACTAGGTTGAATAACAGCAAAGAAAGGTGAAAAAAGATATAATCATAAAAATAGAAAACTGTTTCAAGCTAGCCGAGTTGCACAGATCAGTATTACAACAATAATATTTGAACATTTCATCCTCTGCAGTTGGTGTGGCTGGTGAGCACTGGAGATCAGTGTCACAATTTCTAAAGAAAAAAACTATTAATTGTCTCATATAAATAAATTTAATCAAAAAATTAAAATTACATTTACAAGTTTAGTCAAATTGGTGCAACTTACTGAGAACTGTAACTCGAATCGTAACGATTGACTTTTTTCAAACAATAAGCAACATCTGTGGCACATTGGGTAGTGCCATTATTTTTTCCAACAGGAACTTAAAAACGTATGTTTATGAATGATATTTACAAGAAAAGTACCTAACAATTGTAAGTTGCAACTCTCAGAATTAGCTCTAAATTTTTTTACGGATTCTTTACAGTACCAGTAGCAAATATAAAAAATCTTAGCGTGTGGTTTTCAGTTTTAAATTTAATTTATTAATCTTCCGCCAATTTGGAAAATATGGCATTGTGTTGCAAGCACTTTTTTAATGTTCCAGATATGAAAGGCTTAAAAATTTAAAACTTCAAGTTCAATTAAAGCTATTCTATCAATATATTTTAAAAAAATAGTTAAAAGTCAAAAAAGGAGAAAGTTAAAAGCTTGAAACACTATGCCAATTTGTCGAGAAATTCAAATCGCGAATTTTTGATGCCCATTTTTTTTAAGACTAGCAGCAAACCGCGACTTAGAACTTCGCATAAGCTCGTACGTTTAAATGGCCTTTCAATTTAAAAAATTGAACAAAATCTAAGCGTTGCGGGTCGGGTACCTTCCTTGTTAGTTACAATATTTATTTCTTTACTTCAAAGTACTAAACTGTGTAAATCACAAAAAAACTTACTTCCATTTTCAGAGTGAAAGCAACGTAAACTGTCGACACCAGTAAAGCACAGTATGAACAATGTTGATATGACCAATTGCATTTTGAAATAAAATGCTCAAGATTTGTGTGTTTCACAAGTTTTATAAATAGGTTTATATAGGTTACTATTGTTGTTGTTACACTAACTTTGTATTGTCATTTTGAGTCATAGGTTTATTTGTATTAAGGGTTACATTGAGAATTTTTACGAATTTCGTAATAACTTAAAATAGAAAAAATACAATTTAAAAAAAAGTATGTTATACACAAACTATAGTTTATTTCATTACCATCAAATCTTTAAACCTTGCCAACTTTTCTTTTACAATTACACAATTACTGTGTAATTATCGTTACACGAGTGTTTCTGCACTTTACTCGAAACATATAATAATTAATGTGATTATGGTCGTGTTAATTAAAACCTGTTCATAAATAATAGCTCATTCAGAAACTGGCACGGCCTGGTACTTAACTGTATTTTACACTTTTTAGTGTGTTAATATAGCTTCTAATTTCAAGAAACTTTGCGTTTTTTTAAACCGTGGCATTACTTTATCATACGTAGTGGGTTATGGTAAGTTATTTTTAGATTTTTTGTTTAAGGTTTGTCAAGATACTGTAGAGCGTGACAACGTAAAGAAGGGTTGAGACAAGTAGGGTACGAAAAGGAAAAAAATAAGAAAAATGTAAAATAAATAAAAGGCAAGGGTAAAACTAAAATTAAAGAGCGGGAAATGTATGGTCGAGCATTTTCAATTAGAGATAGAGTAAAGTAGGGTAGGATATAAGTATGATAATAGGAAGGCAAGGGTAGCTTCAGAATAAAGCAGAGGGAGAACAGGGGCAACGCTAGAGCAAAGGGGTAAGATACGGTAGGGTAAAGTAGGGTACCGTAGGAAAAAGTAGGACGTGCATAAGGTAGGGTACAAAAAACTATACAATATGAAATACGAAAGTAAACTCGGGTAGAGTAGGGTACAATAAGGTATTTTAAAGTAGAGTAAAGTAGGGTCGGTAAAGTAGGGTATGGTAGGATAAGTTAAGGCGTGCGCAGAGTAGAGTACAAAAAACCATATTTATAATTTTATACAAACTTTCTTATCACAATTATATTTATATGTACTGACCATAAGTATACATTCAACTAGAGATCTACAATAACAATTCAAAAGACTATAAAGTGGAAATGCCATAAATGTAAACTTAAGTGACTACTCTGAGTAAGCGTATGAATATGTACATATACATGTAATTTTAAAAATCACCATAAAATTGTAAAAATGAAAAAAATATGAAAATGTTTTTGATATTACATAGATATATATATACTTCAAGATATATAAACATGAACTATCTTAAAATGAGAAAAAATAAGATTTCATAAAGAAGTTATACGTATATATATATACATATGTTTATGTACACAATAGTAGAGGTGTATATATGTCTATGTAGAGTAGGGTACAGTATGTACGTACGTACGTTAAAAAATACGTAAGTACTTATAATCCCATTTTTAGGCAACAAACTTTAAAAAGACATGTTTTATAAGACACACAACTTAAAAATAGGCCTTATAGTACCATACTATATTACTCTACTATAATATAAAACACCATACCGTGCTATAGTATGATCAAAAATACAGCACCGTACTGTACCATACTATTTTTTATCATATAGTACCATTACTATATAGTCTGAACTTCTCTTCCTCACTTTCTTTGAAGGCTTCAAAAATCCTAAGGATTGCTCTTTTCCTTGCAAATTTGAATATAAGCCGACTGTAACATGGTGAACATCATGGCAATCTCTCCATTACATCTAACCTGAGGACAAAAGTCCGCAACCAACCGGATTTCAGCTCCCAAGTGCTGAAGTTGAGATCGTACCACAACAAACATAAATGCTGGCAAAAGAGAGTCAATCGACCAGGTATGGGAGGTACCGGCGGAGGAGAAACGGGCTGTGCACTAAAAATGAAATATTAGTCAAATTCAAAATAAAAAATGGTCTATTTAATAAGCAACTCTTTTTCACAAAACCAAATTACAGTATAAAACCATGCTAATTAAAAATATGTTAACAAGCATGCGATTAGTCTTGTTACATATTTCTAGGTACGTCGCATAATCCGGCTGAAAAGATGGCCTTCGGGATTACTCGCTTAATTATTTACTTAAATTTTTGTTGTAATGTAGTACGTACTGGGATTAGCAAAACGGTCAATAGTTGTCGCTGAGTGTAAACAAAATTATTGCGTGCTTCATGGGGGATTGACTTTTTGTATAGTTTGTGTTGGGTGTTTTGGTAGAGTATTATAGTTGGGACAATGAGCTTGGTTTAGTTAGGAAATCGTGCTATATTAGGGGTAAGGTGGGTATTAGATTAAAGCCTACAAAAAAGGCAGGGCAAGACAGAACAGAGTGTGGTAAGGCTAGGGCTAAAGCTAGAGCTCGTGATAGAGCTATTGCTAAGGCTAGGGTTATTGCTAGTGTCTACTTTAGCACAGTCAATTCGAACTTTTATAAAGTTCACACGTACACTTTGCACTTTTATTTACTCCTATTCTTATCATTCTAACGTGTGTCTAAAACACTCAAAGTGCAACCCAAAATAACTAAATTTCCAAAACAAGCGATCAATAAAGTTTTACTGTCTGGCGGCCGAAGAAATTCGACCGTAATCCATCTTTCGACCAGAAAGACTTGCACTTTATTATTTTGTCTGAACAACAGCAATACTATAAAATGTCTTCAACACTAACATTTATGAATTTAATGTGTATTTTATAGCTAGATCACGAGTAAAATTTTTTAATTTATAAATTTGATAAGAAATACAAAGATAATAAGCTTAGAAGCCGATAATGGTAAACTATGCATGAAAGGTCAAATTAATAGGGGATTTAACGTGGAATGCACTTTGGAGTAATAACAAGCCTATACGCAAAAAAGAACAGGCAATTTTTTGGGACACAAAATTCTAAAACTTTGTATACAATAAAACAGGCAATATTAGCATTAGCCCTTGCCATTTCCTGTTATGTCCTAACTCTAGCCCTAGCCCAAGTGCAACCCTTAGTCCTATCCTAGCTTCCTGGTTTAAACTATTCTTCTACTAGTACTGTTTGGGCATTAGTACTGCCATTTTTAGGCTATTTTTCTATCATTACTGCCCTGCTTATACTCTTTTTTAATAGTGTACTACCCGGTTTAATCCATCTTTTTATTATTACTGCCCCGGTTGGACTATTTTTGTACTAATACTAGTTTATTCACTTTTCCATTAGTACTACCTTGATTTTTTTGAATCCTTTATTGTTACTGTCCTTTCTTATCTATCTTTTACCTTGCTACTGCTTGTGCTTGCCTATTTTTTATTGCAACTGCCCTTTCTTGCCTAATTTTTATACTGCCCTTTTTTGACCAATTTGTTATTGTTAGACCGTCTCCACCACTTCCTCGACTGTTTTCCGTCATGTTTTTGCTATTTTTCGACTGTTTTCAAAACTTTCGTTGCACTTCCTCGACCACTTTTTCGTCGGACCGTAGAACAGAAATCCGCTTGACTGAATGGAATTAGGGCTAAACTCCCCGGAGGACAAGACAAAAAACAACAAAATAAGCGGAAAGTGCCGTAAAAGTGCACCGAAAGTGCAAAGTTGGCAGATAGAAGCCTACGGTAATGTAATGGACTTGTTTGTCCGGCTGTCAAAACATTTCCTTCTTTTTTTCGAAAGTGAAAAAATATTATACCATATGCTAGGCGTAGAACGTAACAAGTCATATGGTATGGCGTGGGTTTTTAAGTTTCATAAATGAATTGTTTTTAGGCTTAAAAGTAATTTGAGGACTAGAAATGGAATTTCAGGCTTGAAATATATATTTTAGGCTTAAAAATGTTTTTTAAACTAAACATTTTTTTGTGGTTTAAAGATAAACATTAGGCTTACATACGGTTTTTAAGTTAAAAAATACATTTTAGGCTTAAAAATAAATTTAAGACTTAAAAATGAATATTAGACTTAAAAACGAATTTTAGGCTTAAAAAGAATATCTTAAGCTTAAAAATAAATCTAAAATTAAAAAGGAATTTTTAGGATTAAACATAATATCTTAGGCTAAAAAATAAATTTTAAGCTTTGAAATGAATTTTAGGCTTAAAGAAGAAGCTTAAGCTTAAAAATGAAATTTTAGGCCTAAAAATAGGTTTTAAGTTAAAATTGAAATTTTAAAATTAAAACTTAATTTTAAGCCTAAAAATGAGCACCTAAACTTAAAAAATGGGTTTTTAGGCTTGGAAACGAACTTTTAAGCTTAAAAATGGATCTTTAGGCTTACAAATGAATTCTTACGTTTAAAATGATATTTTTAGGTTTGATTTATCCTGGAAAATGAAATTTTAGCCTAAAAAATAAAATTTAAGCTTCATGGAAAGTTTTTAAGACCACTCATTAACTAGAGGATACTGTAAACCTTTATACACAATCGTAATTATTTTTTTGAACTCATTCTTTATTGTAGTGTAGAATGTTTTGTCGAGTGTTATTCCGTTGTTACAATGTCTTGTGTATCGTAATTAGCGATTAAATTAGACCAACAATAAACAACGTTACATAGAGTGTAAACAAATGGATATTGTAACAATTGTTTACATTATTTTTGTTGTTACGCAGTTGAATGAGGAAAAACATTCTTAACAACCATCAAGCCTACGCATACATTAAACACTTGACGCTTGTGGGACTTTACAAAGTTTGAATTAATTTACACCATAGTTAACTTTTAAATTTCAAAGCTAAAGCTAACAATTGTAATGTTAAAACTGAAGCTAAAGTAAAGGATACGCCTAAAAATAAAAACAAAATCTAAGCCAAGGACAAAGCTACGCCTTTGGCACCGGTTCAGGCTCATACTTTAGTAAAAGTAGAAGCTGAGGCTAACGTTAATAATAAGACAGTCGCTAAGACTAAAACTAAGGCTAAAGCTAAGGCCAACGCTAAAGCCAATGCTAAGACTAAGGCTAAGACTAAAACTAAGGCAAAAGCTAAGGCCAATGCTAAAGCTAAGGCTATAATTAAGACAAACGCTCAGAAAAAATCATCTCTAAATGTATTGTCATCATCATTTTTGCTTTATTGTTTTGCCATTTTAATGTGCTGTTGTATCATTACGTATCTTTTTTATTTTTTTATATATTACATTCGTGCTGTTAATTAAATTGTCATTTTTTTTCAAAATAACAATATTACCGAAAAATTCCTCAATTTTACTATAATATATTTTGTTATTATATTTTAAACCTATAATTTAACATTATGCATTAATATGTAAACATGATTAATATTGTAGCACTCGCAATACTACAATATTACTCAAGGTGGGTTTGATTATAGTAAAATGTTTATACGACTTGTTCTAGATGTAATAATGATGATTATGCCTCAAAATAAGGTATAGTAAATAATAATAGAGTAAAGTAAACTAGGGTAGGGCAGTTTGAGTTAAGGTAGGTTAGAGTAAGGTAGAACAAAGTAGGGTAGAACAGGGTGAGGTAAGTTTGACTAAAGTAAACTAGGTTAAAGTAGGGTAAGGTAGGGTAAGATTGAGGCATGATACCCTAAATATGCCTTGTTTGAGATATACTACAGTATTGATATGTCTTGTTCCACAGTTAAAAAGCTATTACTACGCCTTTTACCACAGTCACTACAATCTTACCATGTCGCATACCTGCGATAATACAATTTCAATTTCGTATGTTGGCGTGTGTGCCTAAATATAGCCGGGTTAATCTATTTTCCGAGGGTTGTTTTCAATTATCGCATATTTTGTTTACCGCCCGTGCCCAACATTAAGTATACAACACAAAAATTTTTGGTTGTAATGAACCCCCTAATATATGGAGGGCTTACAGTGTGTGAAGTAAACACGAAAACAGATGTAACGTTCCGACAAATCGTACTCAAATGGTACCGCTGTCAACAAACAATAATTAAAGATAAACGTGGCATTAAATGTAGTTCTGTTTACACTACAGTAAAGCTGTGTCATAAAGGAAAAATGGTTAGAGATATCAGAAACGTGACAATGAATAATATTTTTAAAGTTACAGTAACGTATATCATTTTACTACTACCCAACCGTATTTTACTGTAAAACAGTATAAGATATCGTATAACTACCTTCTGTACCCTACCCTACTTTACCCTACCCTACCCTACTCTATCCATTATCACAATACCTATTCTACCCTACTATAGCCTACAGTACAATACCTTGACCTACTGTACCGTATGAAACAGTACAACATCCTGACCTACCCTATCCTATGAAACAGCAGGCTACCCTATCTTATGAAAAAGTTAACGCCCCCGTATTTTAGCATAGTGCATATAATTTACTTTTGTGCCACTTTTAATAATAAAAAACATATTTTTGATTACTTTAGTATTCTGTCTGATGTCCTCGTACTTTAAGCGGCATTTTTCCGAAAACGTGCTCCAAAAATAAATTTTGAGCATGTTTTTGACTTCTGGCTTCCTAAATAATTTTCGTTCCTGAACTCTTTTTTCAAAGATCACGTGCACTTTGAAGACATATTTATTGTTATCATTGTAAACTATAAAAGTGCATCAATATATAGTACAGTAAATAGGTGACAATCAGCTGTCCTTAAGACAAAAGATTTTTTTGTTTTTTGATTTTTGTAGGTCATCATAATGAAATATATTGCTAAGAGTCCGAAAAATATAGACAAATGTAAGCTTAGAACAAGACTAAAGCTAGAGTAAAGGCAGAGGCGAGCCTCATATAAAAACGGACTAAAACTACACTACGACTTGGGCTAAAGCTAGAGCTAAAGCTGCCGCTAAAGCGACAACTAGAACTATGGCAAAAACTAGAACTGAAGCTAGGGCTAGAGCTAGAGTTAGAGCTAGAGCTAGAGCTATGGCTAGGTCTAAGGCTAGACCTAAAGCTAGTGTAAACTCCAACTCGAACTGAGCTTAAAACTACAACAAAAGTTGTATAAGTGTAGGATTATAAGCCTAAACATAAACCGTTACTAGCTAAACAAAGTCTAATGTAAGCCTAAATTAAATCCAATATTATTATATATATATATCCTCTTCGTTCTTATTCAAAACATTTTGAAAAAAATTTTAGGACTTTTGTAACTTGATACATTTTCATAATCAACTAATTTTAATTACTTACCTTTTTATCATATTTTTATAATATTCTTTTCATATTTTATGTTATGTTATGTACCTCTTACAAAATTTTTCAAATTCCCAAAACCTGTGACAAAGGTCTGGTCACAAAACACTCTTCATATGTCTTGTGTTTCAATAAATAATCTCCTTAATTTCGCTAATGTACATATAATATGATTTACATTCCTTCACATATTCTATCATGCACTTTTGTATACCTTTACTTTGGTAAATTCTTGAAATAACTTGCCATAATAAAGTTATTTGGCATTATAATAAAATTACTTTCCTTTATCAAATTAACATCTTACCATATGCATTGTTCTACTAGATTCTATCCTACATTCCACTACACTATC